AGGCTGCAATGCTTGGTAAGAAATGTATGCATTATCCTTCCCATGCAATTGTAACCCCTCTGTACAGTATGTTCACAAATAAAATTAAATTAAATTAAAAAAAAAGAACCCCAGAATTCTTTGAAGTCTTCCAGATTGGTCCAAACATTTGTGCACTGGCACAAAAATAGTTGCAATGGATCAATAAGATGCTGGTAGACCATACGGAGTTTTCAGTTCACAGGTGAATTTCCTAGTAAGGCAATGGATATCTTATCTCTGTGAGTTAAAACGTTTCAGAGAAGTTAAGACTGATTTATTGGCTTAGAGTTTTGACCAAGGTCTTTCCATTTCTATGCTTGTTGAGAAATTTTTCGCATGGGAAATTAGGAGGTGGCGGTAACAGCTGTACATGCAGCCAGATGTCTGGTGTGAAATCAGCTTTGCATCCAATGCCATGTATGGAAGTGTACAGCTGCCTCTCTCTTTTCCATTTTCTACATCTTTAGACCAACTGGAACACTTCCTACTGATGGTCAGGGGCCTTTTCTGTCTTACCCATATCAACCCATGGCTCTAATACAGATTCATACAGGGACAAACAGGCATGTGTCCTCACCATATCCCAGACAAAATTGGAGAGCCAGTAAATGACAGGCTTCACCCCACTGATGAACTGCAGATGCTTTGCTTTGCTGACCCGTTCCTGAATTAGGAACACAACAAAGCTGGCTGGGACAAAAGACATCGCAAAGATGACACAGATGGACACAAGGACATCCACCGATGTGGTCATCCTAGAAAGAGAAAGACAATAAAGATCAGGAGTCTTTAGATTCATTGGAAGTCATACAATGTAAGGGGACACACACACAATCTAAACCCCAACCCAGGGGAAAATATGTGTTCACACAATATGTTTAAATATGAGCATTGAATATGATCATTTTCAATTGTTGGCTTTATTCTTTATTTTCTTTGGTCATGGGGCTTGAACTCGGGGCCCAGGTACTATCCCTGAGTTATGCTCAAGGCTAATAGCCACAGCACCACTTCTGCTTTTCTGGTGGCTAATTGGAGATCAGTCTCATGGACTTTCCTGCCCAGGCTGGCTTCAACTCACAATCCTCAGATCTTAGTCTCCTGACATTTTCAAGTTTTTAAAAACTGACAATTGAGCCAGGTGCTGGTGGCTCATGCCTGTAATCCTAGCTACCCAGGAGGCTGAGATCTAAGGATTGTGGTTTGAAGCCAGCTGGGGCAAGAAAGTCCATGAGACTCTTATCTCCAATAAATCACAGAAAAAAAAAAAACAGAAGTGGTACACTGGCTCAAATGGTAGAGTGCTAGCCTTATGCAAAAAAGGAGCCCAGGGAAAGCATGCAGGCCCCAAGTTCAAGTCACACGACTGGCAAATAAAACGCTGAAAAAACCTGACAATTCAAATATAAAACCAATTTCTCTGAGGTTAAAGATAATACTCTGCTATAGGAAACCACTTGGAAGGCCTAGAAGTAGCCTATGTTGTGCAATATTGTCACCAGTCCTTGACCTTGTAAAAGCTAAATTGTACATTTTCACACATGAAAAGATCTGTGTTTCTCAAAGACTAAATAAGGAAGAAATATTGGTGTGAACCTACTCAAATAAACACATTCTTATGGCAGTGAATAAATTTGAAAACAACAGGATATAGCATAGCCATCACATACAAACACATTTAAACTTTTACCAGGGTCTTAGTATAAAGAGCCTACTATCCTATATTGACATTCCATAGTAGTGAAGCAGAAACAATAGCTGTGCCAGGTTCTGTTTATAGGTGTTGTTCTAAAGTGTTGTTCTAGGCACTGCGCTTGACAATTTATAAGAATGGCTTCATTTATTATCAAACATCAAGCAAGTTTAGAGGCTAGATTCAAACCATGGACTAAAGTTCCAAAAACTGCTTCTTCTGCTTCTCCTACAGACTGCCCCTCTCTCTGTCTCTCTGTCTAGCTTTCTCTCTGTTTTACCTTCTTTCCCTCTCTAACTCACTCTCCCCCTCCTTTAATCCTTTCCCACCCTCTTTTACATACACACACATACACACACACACACACACACACACACACACACACACCATCAAATGTATGCTTCCGTTTAAAATACAAGTTTTAGAACAAACGAAACTGACATTAAATGATGTTGTAATGGTGAGAATTATTTTCAGATTTTGTAACAGTTTTTAACTCACTTTATAGGAGTTCATCAAATATAATGTTTGTTTTTTTACATATCTGTGTCATTTCCTCTACAGTTGAAAAATGCCTACCAATCAATTTGTAAACTGACCATTTTCTATGTGGAGACTGGATGAAGCCAGACTTACAGGATACAGCTTTTTGTAGCTGTTCTCCACCTCCTCATACTCCAGGATTCCCCCAGCACTCTCTCCTCTCCTCGCCCCATTCATTTCCACACAGCTATACTTACAAAGCCACCTCTGAGAGCTGCTGTTTGGTGAGATTCAGGGGGTGATTGAAAGCAGTGATTCCATACTGGCTAGGATTCTCTCCCTTCTGCAGGTTAGCCCGGAGAATAGCATTGTTGATGACATTCAGGAAAGAGCTGATGGCATGCCAGCCCTTGTTATTGAACCACACCTGAAATAAAACCAGGTGCAATGTACATGTTTTGCTCCTAAACCAAACTCTTAAGAAGTGAGTGTACACATGTACAAGGTGCACATACACTTCAGAAAGAAAACCTAGTCATATATTGAGACAAAAACACTGTGGCAAAATGATAGCACGCAGAATTTACTGGCCTGGCACTACATTAAGCATTTTTATCCTGAACTCATTTATCCTCATAACTGTAAGGTTTAAATAGGTTAGTCACAAGTCAAGGCCTGGTAAGTCTCACTAAGTCTGGTGGCAAAGCAAAATACTCTTAGTCACCACACTGTAATGCTACATTCTTATAGTTGGCAGAGTTTGCTCTTTTCTGTCTTGGATACCTTCATTAATCAGATCATGAGCTGAAGATACTTCAAGGAACATAAGACTATTTTTACTAAGAGGCTAGAACATAGATACTGATTTACCTTGACATTGTTTTTGGTATCCAGACCTGTCATGAACCTTCCCAAGCTGCTGAGAAATCGATCTGCAGAACTGTCCTGTGAACGACAAAACTCTCAATCAGCTCTGATTATAAGGGTCAATGGTATGGCAACAGGAAAAGTCTTTGAAGAGCAACAGCACTGCAATCTCATTAAAATCAAATTTGAATCCATTAATAAATGACTCCCAAGAACCAAGTAACCAGAAATCTATAGCACTGATACCACCAAGATGCCATCAGTCTCAGAGGAATCCCAGAAACCCCGCATCTCAAAGTCCCAAGATAAGTATCTGGATATAACATGGTGATGAGGATTCCTCACAGCATTCCCCTGGCATTGTCCCCAGAACCACAACCACACTCTATGCAGATGGGATTATGTGACTAAGACTGCCACCAGCATTCCAGAATCCACGTCACTTCTTACATCAAACTGGGAAACATGACATACAGAGAAATGACAGTGCAGCCAGGCGCCAGTGGCTCACACCTGCAATCCTAGCTACTGAGGAGGCTGAGATCTGAGGATCACAGTTCAAAGCCAGCCCGGGCAGGAAAGTCCATGAAACTCTTATCTCCAATAAGCCACCAGAAAACCAGAAGTGGTGCTGTGGCTCAAGCAGTAGAGCGCTCGCCTTGAGCTGAAGAGCGCAGGGACAGCACCCAAGCCCAGAGTTTAAGCCCCACGACAGACAAAAAAAAAAAAAAAAAAAAATGAAAGAAAGGACAGTGCACTCACTAGGTCCAGAAGACCAGATCAACAGCTTGAAAATAAAAGTAATTCATTTACTATTTAGCCAGTGATTGTCTTAGAAAAGTCTGGCTGAAGCCTACCTTTTTTTTTTCATCTATTTTAGTTATCTTTATAAATTCAGTTCTTTTAAGAACTTTTCAGTCTCTGAATTCACTCTTGACCTACCTATTCAGGCTTTTAAATACACACTGAGAAGTTTCATCTTATTTGGCTGAAATCACTGAATGCTGATGATGGCTTCATATTAAAACATTCAGAGCAGTAAGCTACTAGAGTCAGATCGACCTGGCCATACCGCTCATGTCCCAGCATTCCACACTCATTTTCCTGATATGCCTCAGGATGGATACTTACTTTGGCCAGCCTCAAGTGTTTCTTCACTTGTTTGATGGCATCCTTAACTTCTTGACTTGGAGGAAGTGCTTGAGAATTACTGACACCCAGGGAAAACCCTCCATACCTAAAAGAACAGCTTGACATTAAAACCCAGACAGTGTGTCCCATGTTATCACTCAGCAGTAGATAGTACAATGCACAAGATTCCTTGAGATAAGTTTCTTATTTAAACTAGCACCAAGGTTGGACTCGGGAAGTTATGTCTCAACTTCCTTTGATAAATTCTAGGGATCTCTTTAACTCTCAAGGTTGTTGTCCAGATGGAAGGGCCTGGGGTTGGCAACACAAAGTTAGACATCTGTAACACTCAGAAAAGAAGGTTCATCTCTCAGATGCTCCTGTCACCAGGAGGCTTAGGCCTCAACTTGATCTGGTGAAGACATACTGTCCCAGTTGAGCAAGGTAGAGTGAATGGAAAGGCTTTGTATCTTCCTTAGCATGAGGGCCATCATAAGGCTATGTTTCTCTGTCCAGAGATCCAGGGATCCTGGCCTTTGGGGAAAAGGCAGTCAGGAAAGTGGGACTCAATCACTTGGCCCCTGATATGTTCCCCAAGGCAGTCTCTCTTCTATCCCATTTTCTAGGATGCACAAATTAGCTGCAAGGCTGCTGCCTTCCCCCGGCCCTTCACAGCCCACAGGGGGAAAATACAGGGAAGTACAGGGAAGATAAATGGCCTCGATGACTTGTTCTGCAGAGATCTTCTAAGTGACACAGCAAAGGCTCAAAACAAAACTGTCCCTGGCTCCCCAGTCACCTTTGGAAATCTGTTTGGAGAAAAGGGCAACTAGGACTGATATTCCTCGCACTGCACTGAGCTTCCTTCAAGACCCTAGTCGCTCCCCAGAGACGTCCAAATCTCCTCAAGGAAATCACTGCACCAAATATTTTGGTGTCCTCTGAAGTGGCCACGGAGCATAGAACAGAGATGCTCCAGGCAGAAACTTCAAGGTGAGTCCAATCTAAATTCTACTGTGCCCCTGTACACTCCATGTGTTCCTCGGGCCCTTTGGCCTCTTCAAAGCAAGTTGACATTCAAGAATGTGAGTGAAAATGCCCAAACCCTCGACTTTCCCTCAATTCCAGAGGACTGCATCAAATCTCCTAAGTTTAGAGACACCAGGGACAACTGAAAGTAAGGAGAAGCTTACCTAAACTCATTCACCCAGATCTTATTCTTTAAGCTGCAGAAAAGGAAGACAAAGAAAACAAAAATCAGTTATAGAAGGCACCAATCCCATTCTACACGAGGGGCAAATATCTACCTGAGGATACAATATCTACCAGAAGGACTTCTATGATCAAGTATGTAACCACTCCACTACAGAACTGTACCAATGGGGAAAAAAAGCCATGTCAACAGAAGGCTTGTCTGCTATCTTAAACAGGATTGTTGTTTATATGAGAACAGAACCTTAGATTAAGCCAATTTAAAAATCACTCTACAGACCAAGATATGACAACCTATAGGCTTTTATTCAATGCAAAGGGATACTTCAATTGTGAATGGCACATGGGACGATTATGTCTCTTTCTTATAGATGCATGCTCATTATCAATCCAACACACTCTTGTTATTTAAAGTTACTGAGAACTAACAGAGAAACCCCACCTGACCAAGTTGATTGGTCTGAGCATTAAACGTGGTCCCCTATGGGGACATGTCTCAGGAAGCTACAAGGCTCTTCCAAGGTTCCACAAACAACAACTAAGAGCATGATTACTATCTCATTTTATATAAACAAAGGCCCTTGGTCAAGCAGCTAATAAGTATCAGCATTCACATTTGAATTCACATTTATTTTTTATTCTAGAGTAGGAAGTCTGCATGTTCCCAATACTTCTCGTCCTTTTCCTCCTTTGGTATATCCAGACTTCTTAACCATCAGGCCATAAGTTGGCAATTCCCTCACCACTAACTAGGTCTACTACTCAAACACCTAAAACTCTTCTACTCAGCAATGACCTCCCATGGGTTAAATTTTATTAATAGTCACCTTTTAGCAATGATCTGAACATATGTCTTCACCAAGTAATCTGAAATGTTTCTTCCTGTCAGGTTCTGAAGGATGTCTGCAGTATTCTGTTTTCTCTGAAACCACATAGAACCAAGCACATGTGTCTTTATAGACAAGGACTTGGCAGAAGACAGACCATCAACCACAGGGATACATGCCCCACAAACATATACCCAGGCCACAGGACCCAAGTAGCCTCAGCCACAATACTACCAAGACCTTGTTCATTCTATCCTAAGCATAATCGTTCATTTGTACCAAGTTCAGTTCATTCTCAGGAAACTTTTCTCAATATAGAAACAATAAGCACTGAGATAAAAATTCTTTATAGTCCCAGATGATTTGGGGGACAAGCATCATAAACCAAGCCTAGTGACTTGTATTCATTTGCATTACACTGATGCCTACATTAGCTGTGTTTGTAGAATGGTGACCAAGGTTTCTTTAAGCTGTCACACTCATTTAAAAATCACTTGGCTCACTGTCCAACCTGGGGGCTGAGAAAGCAGCAGAAAGCTATCACAAGCAAGACCCTTTCTGAAACTGTCAGAAAAAAAAATTGCTCATATCTCCTTCTCAAAGTCAAGAGTCTCAGAAAATGCTAAAACTAACACACATTGTCTGATCCAGCTTTCATGGGTGAAGAAATAGGCTCAATGAACTAACATAACATAGCCTGTTGACCAGCTCAGGGTTAGAAGCCAATCCTCTGACAGCCTGTCTTGTGGCATTACCGATGTAGGAAAGGTATGGGCGCAATACGACCCAAACCTCGTCTACGCAAAACTGTTGTTTTCACTGCTATCACATCTCATCCATTCCTGCTCCCAAGGAAATGCTACCAGCTGACCTGCACCCATGGCTTGGTTATGCATTTGACAGTGACTCACTTGTGGAGGGGGCAGCCCTCCAGCCCCTGGAGGACACACAGGCAGCATCTTCTTTATTTTGTCACTGCTACACTGGCAGGCAGGAGAGGGGTTCTCCATCGTCCAGTTCCCATTTTGGAAGAGATCGACAATGGTCTGAGGAACAGCAGCAGTGGTCCATTCCTCCTCGCCCACCAAGCAGGGTGTGTCTCTGTGAAGGGAGAGCAGGAAAGGTAAAATCACTCAAAAGAGCCTGGACTTCCCGTTGCCTTCGAGCACAAGATCATCCTGTCCCAACCAGTAGCATGCACCTGTCCCTTAGTGTTTGGAAAGAATGAGCAGGACCTCATGGGATTGTTGATCCCACCACAGTCTGGGAAGTTGCAAGGTCATTTCAGAGATAAGAAAAATGGAACTTAAACAGGCTCTTGAAGTTTATGTATTGAATTGTCTGACACTGCCAACCAACATTTGTTGACACAGCACACATTGAACATTTACTCTGTACCAGACATATTCCACATCTTTTGAGAGTCTGGAGTAGACAAGACAAATTCCTGCCTTGATGGGGTTTGCATGCTCCAAAATAGTTAGAAAACAAATAAATAATCAAATTTTGCCTGGCCCCAAATAAAAAGCAAGATAAAATGAGAGGATGTAGAAGGAACAGACTTCCAATCTTTCACTAAAACAATACTTTAGCCAAAACAAAAATTAAAGGATCAGAGAATGAACTAGGCAAAGATTTGTGGGGAGGTAAGATAAATTCAAACTAAGTAATGAAAAGTCTTGAATGAAGACTCTGTGAAGAAATGAGTTTCTAATCTGAGGAACAAAAGAAGGCAGTATAGCTGAAATAGATGGTCTAAGAGGAAGAGTAATGCCAAATGAGATTGAAAATGAGTAAGGTAGGATGCAGATGATCAGACCTGAGAAGAAGTTTGGATCTTATGCTCAAGATGCTGGAAATTCTGTGAAGAGTCACAAGATTCAATATATATTCTAAACTGAATATAGATAATTTGGAGATGAGTAGGGAAAATGCTTGGTGTTTGGAGAGAGGTTGTTTGGACCAGGTATGATGGTTCATGCCTTTAACACCAGCTACCAAGCTAACAGGAGACAGGAGATAGGAGAATCACAACTCAAGACTTGCTGTCTGGAAAAACCCTATCTGAAAAGACCCTATCTGAAAAACAAAAGCTAAAAGCTAAAGGACTGGAGGTATGGCTCAAATGGTAGAGTGCTGAGTTGAGTAATCTCCAGTACCACCACACATACAAAACATGGCTGTTGGCAAAACAGACAAAGTACAGAGCTTTTATCACTGTCCTGAGCTCTGAATTACCAGAAAAACATCAGCAAGTCTCTTTTCCTCTCAGGGTTTATTTTTGCCACCGGAAAAAAAAAATTAGAGTATAAGGTGACTTGTCATTTCCAGTCTCTCTTTTAGTTCCAAACTACTACAACTTCAAGTAGAACCACAGTATTTCCTTACATATCAGAAAATAAAATCAAATGAACCATTTTCAGATTGATCTCTCATTCTCTTTAAAGCCTCTTAGTCATGGAAAGACTTAGTGGTCTCCTGCAGCTCACCCCTAAAACCTTCCAAAGATGATTGGCTGAGACAAACTTAATGAACACTGAGAGACGTGTTTCAGTCAGCTTTGCTTCAAGCCCTGCCACTTTCTGCAAACTTCAACTTTGAACTTCACTGTGAGTTGCCAGCAGGGATACCCTTCCTTCAAACTGATTCTAGGGCAGAGTCAGAGGTACTCAGACTCAGTGCTGAAAACCCTCTGATGTCAGGTCTCTGCTTCTTTTGTCTCTGTAGGCCATCTCTCAGCCCAACTGTGGCTCCTAGAGATCAACTTAAGCTGCCAGCAATCTAGGAATCAACACAAAATTCAGCTGGCCAGCAGTGAATTTCACCTAAATACATGATCAACTTACTCATCTTCTTGCTTGCCTACAAAAACCTTAATGGGGAATCTGAAAGGTGTGATGACATCTAGTTGGGCCGTGTCTGTGTAACTTTCTCACCACCTCCCTCCCCCGCCATCTTTTTATTGGAGAACCTATATTAGCTGCTGGGATTTGCCACCCATTGAGTACTAAATACCAAGACGTATTTAGTAACTATCTGTTAAGAGTGTCAATCTTAAATATCACCCAGGTGCTCATAAGCTATTGGCCCTTTAAAATTAAAAAAAAGTGTTCAAAGAGCAAATCGTGACAGTCGCATTACTCATGGCCTTCAGTTGAGAAGTGCAGTATATCAAAAACCAAGCACAAGGGGGAGGGGGGAGGCTGGGAAGGGATGTGAAGGGTAAACCAAAGGAGGAGGCTGCAATGCTTGGTAATAAATGTACGCATTATCCTGCCCATGTAATTGTAACCCCTCTGTACAGTATGTTCACAAATAAAAAATAAATTAATTAAAAAAAAAACCGCACAAGCAGCCAGTCTATGGCTAAAGTGTCACTCACGGGATTGGGTTTCCTTCCATACAACGGGTTCCAAAGCCAGGGTCCTTGGTGAGGGCATTCAAGAGCTCTTGGGTTCCCATATCTTCAGGAGCATCATTACTGTGAGCATAGGAGAGGCAGCCAGCTTATAATTCATTCAGATCAGGAATTAGGAGGTAGACATGTTTATTCCTAGATATAAGACCCTAAGTATCTTTGGGGCTTAGGCTCTTAAAAACAAAATAAATAAAAGACAAGACACTATGTACAAGGATTTCAGACTCTGGTCATATATTTGGCCTCAGGGTCATGTGCAGTACCAAAAAGTGGAGTTTGTATAAATAGCTTATCTGAATGAAGGTGTGTGTGTGTGTGTGTGTGTGTGTGTGTGTGTGTGTGTGTGTGAGTGTGTGTGTGTGTGTGTGTTTAATTTGAAGTCAAGAAATTTATTAAGAACCAGTATTTCAAAAATACTTCCATTATTTAATTAGCATTAACAAGTTGCTCAAGAGTATTTCATTTTCACATATCCATTTATGTTTTCCTAAACTAAATTCTTTCAATATACAGATAGGATTATTATATAGCAAGAAGCATTCCTCTCTAAAGATGAACCTTAGCTAACATCCTTATCTTGAGAGAATAGAAAATTATATACTTTACATTATGCAGAAAACAAGAACCTGAAACATCTATGATTTGACAGCACAGGGAAACCTGTGATTTGATTACAAAATTAAAACTGATGTCTAGAAACCCAAATAGCTTATAAATTAGTCACAGATTTTAGTTGAGGGCAGATTACTTATTCTAAGGAACACATATTGTTATTCGTGACAGCTGCAGTATAACAAGAAAGGATAAAATGTCCAAAAGAGGACTCACTCGCCTACTATTTCAAAGATAGTTCATTGTTGCTCTTTGCACAGAATAGTTGCTTATGTAGGGGCATGAGCCACAGTCAATAAAATCCACCTCACAGTGGAACTCTTGGGAGCATTCCATTGGCTCTCAGCGTAGTAAACATCCTTGGTTTGCTTGAATCCTCCTACCTCCCGAGGCACAGAACACAAGTGCATACCTGACAAATGTATACTGCTCATTGTACATCCAAGGCTGAAGTTCCAGGCTGGGGTACTTGCCAAAGGGTGGTACGATCAGGCTGAACACCAGAGCAATGCAGACAAACACAGCTGGCAGGACAATCTGTAACCAGGCATTGGAGGAGAGCAGAGGGATGTCAGAAAACAGTAGGTGTTCTAAATATGTTAGAAACAATCGCAAGAAAGAAAAAACATTTGAATACTTATCTTGGGGTTCATTTCACCTAACATCAACTTATCTGGCCTTTTCTGCTTGACTCAGACATATACAAGTTATTGCAAATAAGGGAAACCATGGGACCTATGTTTCTCTGGGCCTGGCTTACTTCACTTAATATAATTTTTCCCAAGCTTTTCCATTTCCTAACAAATGGGGCAATGTCATTCTTTCTGATGGAGGCATAGAATTCCAAGTCCCAAGAGTCAGACCTTGTAAATTCAGCCAGCCTCTCAGACAGACCTGGCAAAAGATACAAGGCCCATAGCTGATGGTGCTACACAGTTAGGGAGCAATGAAGCCTGAAAATTAAACCTCTTTTCCTTCCAGAGAATCTCTGGAAGGTGATAGCACATGGCCAATGGTTATGGTCATGCGGCAGAGGCACTAAACTGGGAATCTCACAGAGCAAATAGTTATCCTATAAAAGGATGGCTCCAAACCTTAGCTCTTGGCCTTCTCTTGAAGACAGAGGAAGACCACACTGAGCCATGACACCCCCCCCCCCCAATCAGAGGAAGGGCAAAAGGACAAGGAGCCAAAAGATCATAATCCTGGTTCTGACTCGGCCAGTGAGTGCTGGTGACATCAGTTCCTCCCTCTGGCCTCAGTTTCCTCACTTGTAATCTTGAGAACGGACAACAAGTTCAGATCTCACGCTTGCGAAGTCAAGGCTACAGCAATAGCTCCAGTGTGAGGTAACAGCAACCATGCTCTCCCCATATCAACTCAAAACCATGATTACCCAAATCCTTCTGGAACTTACTCATACTTTCCACATACTTTCTCTAAAACAGTAACCCCTCTGTACTTGATAAGAAAACCAGAAGGTCTTTGCATTCATCACTACAAAACTGACCCTCTTATCATTTAAGAGATTAAGCTAGGCCGGGCGCTGGTGGCTCACGCCTGTAATCCTAGCTACTCAGGAGGCTGAGATCTGAGGATCGCAGTTCAAAGCCAGCCCGGGCAGGAGAGACTGTGAGACTCCTATCTCCAATAAACCACCAGAAAACCGGAAGTGGCGCTGTAGCTCAAGTGGTAGAGCGCTCGCCTTGAGCTGAAGAGCAGAGGGACAGCGCCCAGGCCCAGAGTTCAAGCCCTACGACCGACAAAAAAAAAAAAAAAGAGATTAAGCTAGATATGGTGTCTTGTGCTTGTGAGGACATCTACTCAGGAGAAAGAGATTGGGAGGATGGCAATTCAAGGCACACCCAAGCAAAACTTAAGTGAGACTTCCATCTCATTTTTTTTCTGAGCATAGTGGCATATACCTGTCATCCCAGCTACGTGGGAAGCATACATTGGAGGATCACAGTCCAGGACACCCCAACAAAAATGGGACACTATCCCAAAAGTAATTAAAAGCAAAAAATAAAAAGATTGAGGGTCCCAGCTCAAATGGTAGAGCAAAGCTCCAAGGCCATGAGTTCAATGCAGTACCAAAGCAGGGGAAAAAAAAAAAAACCTGAATCAGATTTCAAATCCAGGTCTGCCTGCTCTAAAGTCATGGTCACAGTCTGTAGGGAAAATTCTCTTACAGACCTTTTCTCTACAAACTAAGCAAGTTAAGATGTACTCTTTATGCAGACATTAATGCAATGAGACTTCTCAGTTTGCCATGTACATTCTGATCCCTCTGGTTATATTTTCCTTTCAATGGGAATCAAACTTAGAGAAAAGTTGTTTCCTGAGTACATCGGGGCATAATATCTCACAGGTTAAGAGAGTTTAATGTGCTCAATCATTTTTCTATACTTTGTCCCTTTCATGTATTTTTTCCAAAGTAAAATCCACACACACACACAAACACACACACACACACACACACACACACACACACACACACACACACCAATTGCTCATGTTAGATTCTAGTTTAAAAAAACATAATTTTCATACTATAACAACCCTGTATCACAGGTACTATTTTCCCTTCTCTGCCGATAAGAAAATTGAGACACAAAGATAGAAAAATGGCATTTAGCAGAACTGGGATGACAATACAGGTAACCTGGCTCCAGCATCTATATCCTGGCCAGAAGGCTATTCTACCTTCACTGGTCAGAGAACCTGAAATCCACTCATGAGACCAGAAACCAGTACATCTCACCTGAGCAAAAAATCCTTTCCTACTCCTTTTGGCAATCAGCAGCCTCTTCCATAAAAGAGCTAAAAACTGTTGCTGGGTCAGTTTCCAGCCCTTCACCTGGTAGGAGCCTTTGCCATCCATTCCACTGAGCAGGTCAGTCTCTCTGGATTCTGTAAGAAGCCAACACTGAAGGTCACTCATGATCATTGCACTTTGATCTGATCATATTCCTTACTCTCCTTTTCAGCAACCATCTAAGACTAGCATCACAGAAGTAGAGGGTTATGACAAATCAACCTCCAAGAAAAGTGATGACTCAAATCATCCAACAGTAGCAGTCTCTGTGGTCCTTCAATGGTCCTCTGATAGGTAGAAGAACAAAGGAAGGATTCTTGAAACAAAGGGAGAGGTGTTCATACATAATGGGGTGCTACTGCAAGTCGTTTGGAGGAATCAAGTCACGATATTAATTTCTTAAGGTTATTCTATAAAATAGGTCATGTATGTAGGCTGATTACAGTCCTATCTTTAATGTTTTTGATTTTTTTTAAAAAAAGGTAACAAATTTTAAATCATCAAGATACTGACAAGGTATAAAATCAGAGAGGATGTAAGAGCCATCTGCTCATACGACCAAGAAGTGGAAAATCCAAAGAGTTTTCTGTTCCTAAAAATTACATAGAAATCTTTGTCTCAAACATGAATCCTAACTCCAGTGCTTTGGTTTCCTCAAACATGAATCCTAACTCCAGTGCTTTGGTTTCCTATCAAATGTGTTGATTTCTTACCTCCCCTCTTCATTCCAGTTACACACACACAAGGATACCAATCATCCAAACTATTTTGGTCTAGGGATACAATTAACTCTAAAAGCAGGACTTCTGACCCTTTCAGTATCACTCATTCAATGAATATCTATTAAACAATTAAACACCTAGCATTTTTCAGAAACTGGGACCCTATAGAAAAGATAGTCAGTAAATGGGTTTGGAGGGCTGAGGTGCAATTTTTTTGCGTGGATTTAGAGAAAGATCTTTTAGATGCAGGAAGTGATGAGAATAGGCTCGCTCAGATTTAGCCATATATACAATGATGGAAAAGAAAAAAGAAATAACCTTTTCTCTCCCCCCCCACCCCCTGCTTCCCTTTGGACCCTGTTGGGATCTATCATCTTGCCTAAAGCCCATCAGAAAAGGAAACCAGCTGAGTAGAACATAAAAGAGAAATTCACAGTCAAACAACAGAACAAAGATCTTGCCTAAACAAACCTGGGTCGATGTCAGAGTCATTCGGATCAATAGCATCATCTTCAGTGAATGGACGCAGACAGCTCTGCTTGTCCCCAAAGACCCGCCTGTTCCGTCTTGCTGGCAAGGTTCCATCTAAAGGCAAAGGAAAAGATTCTATGTTTTATTTTCTTTGTAACGAAATAAATGGTCTCCGGTTGTAGTACACCCATGCACACTAGAAAAAGGAGACTGCATTAGGAGAGATTTCAAAAGTACACCAGAGATGATCTATGACAGCCTGCAGGAGGCGCTATCTCCTGCGCAAAAGGCTTACCTGAAGTCTCTGCATCCACTCCACTCTCTTCTGCCACTTTAAGGAATATCTGAAAAGTAAGAGCATCAACATTAGGCCAGTCTAACATGAGTATATGACTGAGCTGCATGCTAGCCCCTCAAGACACAAAAGGTAGAAAGCACATTTATTAACACTTTATCAGAGTCATCAGGGAGAGAATTTATATTCATCAACACACACACACTTTTCTTAGAGATGAGAAATATCAATCCAGACGATCTTTTTCAAAGCACACCTATCGCATTAAAACAGCAACAACAACAACGAACTCCAGGAATGAGGCAAGTGGCTTCTTTGAGGCCTATGGCCCCAAACCCTTGAATAGAACAGCACTATGATAAGTGATCCAAGACAGAATGGTCAGGAGGAAATAGGTTCCTTATCACTAGAAGTAAATATTACGGCAGATGTCCAGACATTAGAGGAGAGTTTCCAAACTAGTTTATAGGCCCCTGTGAGGAAGCAAACAATGAAAGTACAGATTTCAACACCGTATCTTGAGAAATTTTGGTTCAAAGGCTCTAGGGCTGAGCCTTAGAATTTTGATTATTAATATCCCCAGACAAGAGAGTCTGGGCAGCTTGTAAATCCTTTTCAGCCTTCAAGGTCTGTGTCAAGTCTCTGAGTCTAAAGGGAGGTACTACTGCATGGTAAAGAGAACATGAACTCTGATACCTTAAATCTCTGATTCTGAATCCCAGATCAATATCCCTCACTACTCATTTTCATTTTCTAAAAAAACAACATTTTTAAAAACCAACAACAAAATACCCACCAAGCTCAGCACCAAGTCCCACTGGACTAACTATAAAATGTTGGTCATTCTCTGTGTTTGTGAGTTCAGTTGTGCATGTGAAACCCTACCAGGTAACAATCCATCCCATGCTTCTTGCCTTCTATTTGTCAGTACGCTTCTATATGATTCACTAGAACAACATTGCCCTTTCAACAATCTGAAAATGCAGTGATGATTCCATGTGATCCTATGTCTGATATAGGCTGCTTGTTTGTTAGTCCTTCTATATTCCCACTGAACTTACTTCTTCTAGGGTAGTCTCTGAGATGCCATAACTAGAGATGCCCAAGTCTGAGAGCCGGTCATCAATCTCGTGGAAAAGTTCCACAAAGGCTCCCTCCTTAGCTGCTTCATATGGCAGCACATAAGTCAACTCATGTCCAATGTCTTCTACCAGCCGGGCTTCAGATACATGCTTCCTGATGAGGTTGGAGATTGCAGACACATCTGTAGGAACCAGAATGCAAAGATGGCTTGATTAGCTCAGAGGATTCTCAGAAGCTCAGATGTCCCATCTTTGGCCATACCGCCTGTTTATCTCTCGCCTGAGCACTCCAGGGGGAAGACCCTCCACAGATTTAACTTTAAAATTCCAAAGCCTGGCACTGTAGGTACTCAATGCACAATGGATGAGCAACATGTGGATAATTAGCTGAGGTTGAAAGCCTGGTATGTATTATATATGCTCTGGGATTCTTCAATGGAAAACTTGAGTACAAAAAAAAAAACAAAAGAAAAATTTAAAAATGCTTCACTCTTCACTAAACTTTCAAAAGAGGCTATCTTCTATTTACCTCACTGGAAGCTTAATCAAACAGCTAATGGGAGCCAAACTCTTTCTAGAAAATGCCAAGTGTTAGTACTAAGGCAGATAGCCACAGGTCAATATTTCTGTTCCATGTACTTCTAGTAATACTGGTCTCCCATAAACATTGACTAAGGAAAACTTACAAGGCCATCCCTTACCTCTGTACTCTGCCTTCTTATATATACTAAAGGTCATTTCCCTCCTTGATGGCTTAACCCTAAGCTCCTCTTGCAGTCTCTAACCACTTCCATACCCTGAAGGGATTCCTTAGTTCCCAACCATCTCTTTTCTCTGGAACAATGCCCTGCCAGCTCCCAGACCAAGCCCCAGGCTCGCCAGCAAGCATTAGGCCAAACCACCACCAAGCTGCATTTGCTCCCACAGCCACCCAGCCCAGCCCAGCAGCAAACCTTGAGTCAGCGCCACCAGCCTCTGCACCTCGCCTCCTCTGCCTCCACTCTGCCCAGCTGGGGGAAGCTCAGGCACCACCTGAATAAGAAACCCCAGAGTTCTTACCGATGGTCAGCGTGTCACTTTCATGGTCGCTGCCCAGGCCAGCATCAGAACTGCTCTGAGAAACACTGTCCTCCTGATGGCAAAGAAGGAGGTGAGAATGGGTCAGAGACCAAGCAAGGTACAGACACCACCTCTGCCAGGGAGCGCTTCTAAGAAGCTGGATTGAGTAAGAACAGTTGCATAAAAGCCTTTCCTGGGATGCAGGCCACTGGCAACAAGAGCTTCAGAGGCCACTGTGACTTGTGTGTGACGTGGACAGTCCTGATCACTAGGATGAGAGGTCAGGAAGCAGAGCTGTCCACAGAACTATTGCCAGATGATAAATGCTGCAACCACGCTGCTTGTCAAGCATTGACTTCCCTGGCTGTTGGTCCATTTTAGATGTTTTCTAACCTTTAACCCATATTTACTCAGGACCCTTATTAAAAGGTGGATTCTGATTCAGGAGGACTGCATTAGGCCCAAGTGGTTACATTTCTAACAAGGTCCCAAGTGATCCTGTGGTCCACAGACCATGAGAATGGAGGTTTTTTATTAAAATGTTAATAAGTGGACAGGAGTTCCATGTGGAGCATGTGGGTTTCAAAGTGCAACTAAATCTTAGGCATGTGCTATGGTACCAAGGAAAATATTCAATTACTTTATGTACTTGCTGGATGACCTTGAACAAGCAACAGAATCCCTACCAGCCTCATTCCCTTATCTGGGAGAGTAATCATGATACCGCCTTCCCGCAGCTGCTCAGTACTTCGAGATGATAGATTAACAAACAATGTAAATTGAACAAAAATGAACTATCACCATTATTTTCTTTTAGACTCAGAGTCTGTGTGTCATGAAATTGGTGTTTAAGACATATTTAATATTTTGTAGTTTAAGAGCTAAAGTCAATGAGATTTGAAGGTAATGAACAGGAACGGCAGGGCATTTTATAACCAAGACTCTTACCTCTTGGCAAGTCTATTTTCTTCCACATAATCAAGTCCTCAAAGAGCCTTCTCCATCACTCACTGTACCTCCGTAGGAAACACAACAGAGCTAACACAGTGGGAAAGAGCTTCCCACATAGGAGGTAGGACATAGTCCAACAGGACCCCAGAGCAGCGAGATGGTGGCCACAACTGGACAGAACGGGCAACTTCCCAAGCCCAGCACCCTGTTCACACCCAGACCTGAAACATCAGCTCACCTTTTTCAGGTAAGACACAGTGCTGCTGCTATTCCTGCAAGAACTGAGAGAAGATTCCACATCTTTCTTGACCAGAGTCAGATAGTAGCCTGTTCCCAGCTGGTTTTTCAGGAACAAGGAAGAGCCCACACAACACAGCTTCCCATGGGAGATGATGGCAATCCTGTCTCCCAGGACGTCTGCTTCATCCATGTGATGTGTAGAGAGAATGATGGTACGGCCTGCAAGGCACACACACGAAGATGGAGGACAGGGAGGACCTCTCTGGTCTCATGAGTTACACTGGCAGGGGACTACAGAGAGCTGAGTGGGGTATGCATGTGAGAAATTCCTGGCAGCTGCCTTCAACCCTGTGTGGTCAGCATCCTCAACATGACAAAGCTTTAGGGTACTGTTACTAGATCCTCATAGAAAGAACTTGCTACCTCTAAGGCCATGCGTTTATGGGCATCTTCGGTTAACTTATTCCACTGTGAATATAGTATTATAGGTAGGAAAACTAAGGCAAGTTCAGTACCACACCACAGCTGTAAGCAGGTAACAATTGTGTTTCTGAACCTCTCCCACTTCATCTGTTTATTTACCTACTTTCTCAAGAAGCATAAATTTGGGATAAAATAAACAAAGGCTCAGTCTCTGTTCTCAAGAACCTTTGTCCTGGCCAAGTACGGGCGGCTCACACCTGTAATCATAGCTACCATGGTTCAAAGACAGCCCAGGCAGGAAAGTCCATGGGATTCTTATCTCCAATTAACCAGTGAAAAGTGGGAAGTCAAAGTGTAGCTCAACTGGTAGAGAAACAGCCTTGGGTGAAAGAGCTAAGCAAGACTAGAGGTCTTGAGTTCATGCCCCAGTACTAGAATAACAGCACAAAAAAAAATCTCAATCCACAGGAAGACATAATCGTAATAGTGTAAGTCTATACCATTTCTGCCCTTCTCATAGGTACCTAGGCAATGAAGCATAAACTTCCATGTCACATCAACCAGGCCTCCCACCTCCACAAAATGAGGCACTGAGCCTAAAGGAAAGAAGTCCCGTATTTCCCATGAGAAGCAAGTCTATTTCCCTAGCAAGAGCAGGCATGAGAATGATCCATACTTCTCAGCAGCCCTCATCTTGCCCAGCCCATGACTGAGAATAAGTACACATCAGTTACCTTGGCGATATTTCAACAGTAGTTCCCATATTCCCCTGCGAGAGTAAGGGTCCACACCAGCTGTGGGCTCATCCAGAATAACAACCTTGGATCCTCCCACGAAGGCCAGGGCAACAGACAGCTTTCTTTGCATCCCACCTACAAGATAGAGAGTCAGGTTCCAGGACCAGTCCCAGGTGGCAAAGGAAGGCAGAAGTGGAGAGAGGTGGATGGAGGGACAAAGCCCGAGATACATTTCTGCTAGCCATCCACCTAGCCCGGGGACCCTAGACAGCTTTTCCTCTGTGAGTATGTGGTTGGAGTGGAACAGGGAAGATGGAAAGATGCCCAGGGCATCACCTGACAGCTGACTTGTTTTGCTTTTCAGCTTGCTGGGTGGCAAACCAACATCCAAGGCCATCTGCTCCATCTCTGCTTTCACGTGTTTCTCTGAGAGCCCCTTCAGGCGGGCGTAGAACCAGATGTGCTCTTCCACCGTCAACCTAGGGACAGAGAGGCGGGTCAGCTCAGGGGCTCGGCAAGATGTATCAGAATGTATTGTTTCCTGACTCACAACAGAAAACAATAAACACATTTTTTCTCCCTCACCATAATCCTTTCTTAGAATTTTTTTATCCATTTCTAAAAAAAAAATAATCAGAAGGATGGATTCAAGGTAGACCAACAGTGAACAAGAACTCAAGCTACACAGGACATCAAAGTGAAATGTAACTGATCATTTCTGACCTATCCCCAGCAGACTCCACCATCAGCCATCAGAGGACTCAGCCCATAGTCCAACATAGTCCAGTCAACCAGTTGGTTCAGTATTTACCCAAAGGATTTCAGGCTCTGAGAGAACGAAGGTCTCTGGGGAACCCACTCCACAAAGGGATTGCAGGTACTCACATGTCAAACAGGACATTATGCTGGGGACAGACACCGAGGTTCTGCCGAATGGTGCTCAACTCAGAGCGAATGTCCTTCCCCAGGATGTAAGCAGTGCCCGAGGTGGGAGGGAACAAGCCAGTCAGGATGGACCTGAGGACACAAGAAGTGCAGCAGTTGGGATTGAACACCTTCACCAATAGACTGTGCAGAGGGCAGAGAGAGCAAAGGGCACCAACACCCCACCCCATTCCTTCCTCCTCGACCCTCGTCAATTCGAGAGCGCTTCTGCATTAGTGAAGAACTAGGGTTGGAACTATGTGTTTGATCTGGCAAATTTAGTATGAGTGTTTGTATAATGAAGCTTCCAATCTGCAATGGGAGATTTGACTTCAAAAAAAGACTATATTCCTAATGTCAATAGAAATGGATGAAAAAGAACCTACCAGTAAAGGCTAAAAATTATGTATGTTAGCTGGAGGACTTTTAGAGTTTCTTTTTAAAACAGTCAACAACATTAAAATGTCTTTTTGAAATGTTCAAGACTATCGATTTTTATGTGGGAACATAAGAAAAACTAGAAAATAACATCACCCCTAAAGGTCTAGCCTTTTGCAATAAGATGCTGTTTGCATTTGCTTATAGACAAGGTTCCTGGAAGCTGCCATCACCCTACAACATAGCTATTCTCCCTTTGCAGATTCTTGCTTTGTAGTCCTGACCAAATTGGCTCAAAAAGAGCCCCTCTTCTCTACGAACTATCAGAGCCTCAGGGTTTAAGAACTCTGAAGAATTCTCAGAACAACATGGAAAAGTTTATCAGAAAGTTGCGGCTGGTTTTAGGCTAAAGAAAAACCTATGTAGGAGAAAAGTTGAACTTGGAAAGCACACTCAGGATTACATAACCTGCTGCTTCAATGCAGCCTCACCTGCCTGCTCCCTGGGTCCCAGTAACCCACTAAGCTCACTGCAGAACCCTGCACAGACTCTGTGAGCAGTGCACCCTCTGCTTACATGGTGGTTGTCTTCCCTGCTCCATTGTGGCCCAGGAAGGAGGTGATCTGTCCCTCATAAAAATTCAGTGCCAGGCCATCAACGGCCACCTTCATGCCATCTCGGTAAACCTTCACCAGGTTCTGAATGGACACACCCAGCTTCAGATGCGTGGGTTCTTCTTCCATGCAGACTGAGAAAAGAAAGAAGTCAGGGATCAACCTGCAGGAAAGACTGATGAATGGAGTGTTAAAGACACAGGGGCGGTGCTTAACTTTTAAGAACTGTCTTCTGTCCATAGACACTCTGGCCGTAAGAATAAACAGGAGACTATAAATATTTATTTGGGCATTGGTGGTGGTGATGGGAATTAAATGATAAGGGAATATTTGCATTCTATTGACGGAGACTTAACAGGAAATTAAAATATAGGATGTGAACAGCCACCCATTTTTATTAATCCTAAATAGCTGAATAAAAGGGCTTCAATGTGACATGTCAGTTAGTGAGTACAAGGCATCTTAATCCGTGTCACCTCTTCTATCATTCTCTCCCATCTCTCCCAACCCCACCAATCGCCTCAATTTACCTGGTTCTATTTTCCCATATGCACACTGAATATTATGACTGCATTTACTCATCCTTTCTCTATCCATCCTAACAGCCATTTTTAAAACAAACAAAATATGCATGGAACTGTGGTGCATCACTCTGTGGAATAGTACTCAACAATGAAAAGTACTGAACTCGAGATAACCATACAATTTGTCAAGAGAATTGTGTCCAGTGGAAACAAGCCAGCTAATATTTGAAAAGTTACCCACCATATGGATCTATTTCCACCAATATTTGGCAATCACAAAAATATAGGAATGGAGATCAGATGAGCAGTTAACAGGTATCAGGGAGTGGAGCAGAAAGCCAAGGCTATTTAGCAGTAGAATGAGGGATATTTGTAATGTTGGAACAATTGTAGATCTTCAGTGGAATTAGTGACTGCACATATCTACAAACAGGATAAAGCTGCACAGGTTGAGTGAAATGATGATATGTGAAAAAAAGGGAAGGTATCTACAGGTCTGTAAAATATTCCAGTATCAACATCATGTTTGTGAATCTATTCTCTAGCAATTTGTAGTGCTAGCACGAGGAGAAAATGGATGAGAAATAGGAGAAAACTCCATCCTCTTTTCTTCCCAGCAACTTATTATGACTCTAAAACTATTTTTAAATAGAAAGGACGTTTTGTGGGGCTTGTTTTGTTCTGTTTTTTTTTGGCCACAGAAGCTCAGCAGAAGTGGTAACTGACCACAGGAGCATCTAGGAGGGCTCCTAGGAGAAGGATATTGAAACTGCTTCTGATGAGTGAGGAGGTATTCAAAGAAAAAGATTCTCTCATGGGAAGCAACAGTGCAGACAAAGGCTTGCAACTGTGGAGGGGAAGGCATGTTCTAGTGCCTGGGAGCAGTCCTGAACACATGGACCAGAAGCTTGTGTGGGAAGGAGGGAGGGAAGAAGAGTAGGAACAGTGGGAGAACAGTTGGCATGGGTGCCAAGCCAAGAGGATCATCATATTTCACCACCTGTGTCCAAAGGTAAGGCACAGAAGAAATCAGTAGAAGGATCAAGTCATCCCTTTGGGTTAGGGTTAGAGAAACCACACGGAGCACAAAGACTAGAATAGAGAACCTGGATAAAAGAACCTTTAATGAACAGTGGATATCTCTACCTATAGTCAGGAGACAGGAGAGGACTGGAGATCTGAGTAAGAAAAGGTGGGACCACTAAGAAACACACAGGCTAAGTTCAATGTTAGCCACTGCTGTACGAGCCTACACAGATTCTTACAAAGATCACCATGACAAGGCAGGCAACAGGGCTACATGTCCACAATCACATTTACCATTATCATTTCCTGGAACTTGTTAGGAGAGCACAAGGGAGGGGAAAAGATACAGTCATCAAAACATACTTTCTAAGAAGCCAAGGAAGCCAAGGAATGTTTCTAGAGACTAGAATCTTGTAAAGGATGCACTCATTGCATCTGATGTATCTGATTGATGTCTCTGCCCCTAGACCGGCTCTAGAATATTTCACAGTGTAGCAGCTGTCTCTTGTCCCTGCTACAGGCAAGATAGCTGCATTGGGTTTCTGAGGGAAGGTTTTTAAGCTTAGCAATACGTACTTTCTGATATTCCTTTCTGATTGGAACCAGGGTGGCTCTTCTCATCACTTTCTTCACCAAACCAGTAAGACTTGGTACAAGGAAAATACCAGGGCCTGGGAATTCCATACTGACCTAAAAGGAAAACATAGCTGTGATCCAAGCTGGACAGTACTTCCATATTCCTGAGATTTGTCAGACCCAATCCCTCCTTGACACCCTTTCTACAGAACAAACACACTGCCATAGAGGTGGGGGAAAGGGTGTTAACCTTTGCTGAAACCTATGATATAGGTCGTGCATTCTGCACCTCTCTGAGGCCTCCCAACAAGCCCTGGAGGCAGACACATCCCTATATTATAGATGGGCAAACTAAGGGGAAAGTAGCTGAAGGATGCTTAGCCAGTATACTAAAGACTTGGACTTTGAATATAGCTCAACACAGTACAAAACTTCATATTCAAAAAGGAGGCTCAGGTAGAGATAATCAGCTACCTCCTCAGAAAAGGAGCCAAACAGAGTTAAAACTCACTGTCCTAAAATCTGACCTTGCATTTTTATACAAATACCAGAGCCTAGGTATTCCAAAACAGATTCATCTTGGAATTGGTAAGAAAGATTTATTAAGGAAAAAATCAAAATGTATTTATGGACATACATGGGGGGGGCGGATTTCACTGTTACATCTTTGGACATTTACACACATTTACATTTACTTGATTTCACCCTCTGTACTACACTCCGTGTACCCTTCCCTCTGGAAAATACCATCCCCAACACTTTTCCCTTGTTCCATTTTCATCATTGCCAATAGTCTAGTTGGCAGTATTCAATCTTCTTTACTTTTTCCCCAGGAACACCTCCCTCCCCCTCTTGATAGTCCCTACCTACCCACATAGTCTACTTACCCTCCTTCTCATTCTCCTTCCAGAAAATGACTTTTAATTGAATACTAATTAAGTTAAGTCATTGGAAGGGTCTTAAGAGACAATATAGCATACTAGTCATGAATCTGTAATCAGGAAATAGCACCTCCCACAAGAGTTCCCTCTCTGAAGCCACAGAATTACAGACTTAAGTCAGCCTGGTTAGGGATCTCCTGGCCTGCTGACCCAACAATGAGAAAATTGCTTTTACAGGGTCTCTCCCACCTTCAGAGGCCAGTCCCACTCTACGAAGGAGTGAGTGTCCAAGTCAGGGACTCATGTAAAGAGGGGCACCTACTCTTTAGTCATGTCCAGTTCAGAACAGCATAGTGGACACAATGGGGTTTTCTCAACCCAAAAGTGGTCATCTCCAATCAGCGACACTAAACAGTCATATGCTCTCAGGCAAGTCACTCAACTTCTTCTAGGCATAATACTGGTTACAACAATAAAGACTGCACTGAATTATAAAGGACATTTTGCACAGGTCTGGCATATACTAGGCTCAAGAAGTAAGTGTTATAGATGTGCTTTCAAAATCAGCTACTTCTTGGGACTATTGGTCTGCCATGAGTTTAAAGTCCAAGCCTCCTTCTGGGAAGCCCAGGGCCTGCAGAAACCCCAGAGCAAAGAAAGGAAGGACCTGCAGGCTGAAACCATCTCTGTCTACCACATGGTCAAAGCTCTCAGTATACCTGGAAAGACAGCCTCGATGTACCACGTCATCACTCCATAGAGGAAGGTATCAAACAACATCATGGAGACAGCAGTGGTGAGATTGAAGCCATCTCCCTCCACAGGACTCTCAAAGAGGTTGTCCCACTGCACACCGATGCCTTGTTCCTCAAAAAGCGCGAAGTACTCACAGCCAAACCCAAAAGCCACAGGAGACAGCAGGCTCTGGGAGAAAGAGGCAAAAGTCAGTTCTTCTATTTCCTTGTTTCTCACATGTTCCTATTACTTCTAATATAAATTCCACTTGGAGACACTGGACTTTGTAAAACAGATCAAGTACAGGCTACGTAAGTCTTCACCTACAGAGTCCCTTTAGGGGACTGTGCTCCCTTACAGAATACAAATTGACTCCATTTATAACCACTCATTATGCGCACACATTTCAGAAATGCATGAGGCATGAAGCTGTGTAGAACTTTGAGGATTTTACGCTTCCAAAGATGTTTCAAGCCTCAGCAATCCTATCCCTACCCATGTCACCTCCTGCACATACTGACATTCATCAAGGTCTTTTCAAACTCACTGCTTAGCCAGTGAATGCTCAGGATCAGAGGAGTATATTTTGGGCTATTGATAACTATAGAACCCTAACTGAGGGACAGGAAGCACCCTATGTGTTACTATGAGCTTCTTTTATAAGTGTCCCTGAGGCATGATACTCTTAGAGAGTTCTCTTGCTATCCAAGGCTAATCTTTTGTGGAAGAAAAATTGCCCAGTCATGAGTGTGGGGCAAATGGGGCACCTGCTCCTCGCACTTGTTCAATTCAGAAAACATTACTGAAGCAAAAATACCACATTGGACCCAAGGAAGACAAAGGTCAAACATGAGCCATCTCTGACCTCACAAGCATTCTGGTCTATCTGTGGCTGTGACTTTGTAGTGAGCTTAACATGACCAAAAGCAAGCAAACAAACAAAAAAAACCTGGGTGATAAAATGTAGAGATGCTATCTATTGCCTAAAGTCATCTCTAAAAGTCATTTATCCCCAACCAGGTTCAAGGTAGTCTGATTTCTTTTATCAAAAAAAAATCCATTCAATTCATTATCACCAGCATTCACCAAGAGGGCTAAAGATCAATAATGTAGTAAGATACAATGCCTTCCTAGAACACAGAATAGAGAACTGAGGATCGGATTCCATTAGGTATGTTTGGAACTTGCTTCCATTCGTGGGCTACGGAGGGGAGATCAAATCTCCCTTGGTGGCCACCACCACCACTGCTGCAGATGGGCCAGCGTGACTCACCACAAACATCTTGACTGCAAAGCCTACATAGTCTTGCCATGCCACACACAGGACGTAGGGCAGGTACAGCGTGAAGTAGATGATGCCCCCGCAGGCTGCCGCCAGGTTGGCCCGGGAGAAGAGTGTGCTAATCAGGAAGCACTGCAGGATGGTCACCACCGCAAATACAGACAGGAAGACAAACACCACACTGGGGTCGCTGTAGGGCAGCAGGTTTCCTAACTGAAGAGGAAGACACCCGTTAACTGTGGTATGTTGATAAGCCTTAGTCCTTATTTGCATCGTCTATGGAAAAACTCCCAGAGTGTATTTATTCTCATCTTAGAGATGAGAAACAATGCTGTTCTGTGTTCTGATGAGGAAATCGAGGCCTTGATCACACAGCAATATCAGGGCAGAAACGGAAACAACAGAGTCTAGGACTAATTACTCCATATCAGTGGACAATTTTGCTATTTCTCAGGCATCCAGTCAAAGTGCAAGATCCTATCTCAAAAGCAGACTAAAGGCAAAAGAGCTAGGGGTGTGGATCAAGTGGTAGAATACCAGCCTAGCAAACATGATGCCCTGAAACCAACTATTAACACCATGAAGAATGAAACATTTATTTATATGTGTTGCATTTGTACATGAAATAATTATGGAGGGAAGAAAACTGAGAAGTATACTAATGTGTAATGGAAACAGAACTGCACATCTCAGAAACACCATGAAAGGAGTGCTTCTATGACCGTCAATAGACTATCCAGATGCCAATATCTCTGGATTTGTAACAGACACAGAACCACCTGGCCCTAGGGCACATCCTTCTCAGGGGGTAGGATAGGGAGGTCAGGAAGGAAAGCAATGGGAGAACTTTAGGTGTGGATTCTATCAGCTCAATGAAAGACAACCTCAACAAGCTTTATGCCCTCCAAAGCACACCACTGGTTGTCTCAACTCTCCTTTCTGCCCAATCCTACATCGGGCTCATTCTTCCCTGAGCATTGATCCCTATTAAACAGCCATAGGCCAAACTCTATGTCAGATTCTACTTTCAGACAACCTAACTTATAATCATGTATGTCCTTCTGATTATTATTTTTAGAAATTGGAAAGTATGGGCTGGGAAGGTGGCTCAGTGGTAGAGCGCTTGCCTTGCATGCTCGAGGCCCTGGGTTCGATTCCTCAGCACCACATAAGAAAAAAGCCAGAAGTGGCGCTGTGGCTCAAGTGGTAGAGTGCTAGCCTTGAGCTGAAGAGCTGAGGGACAGCGCCCAGGCCCAGAGTTCAGACCCCACGACCGGACCCAAAAAAAGATTAAAAAAAAGAAAGAAATTGGAAAGTATCACTACCCAATACATCAGAGGATACAAATAGCTACAGGTACAGTTCAGTGTGTGCTCATCAGAAAGCAAGAGCCAGGGGTTCTAGTCCTACTTGGCTATGACCCAGCTGGGGAAGTCATTGCCTCGTTCTGGACCTCATTTTTTCCAACTTTGAAATGAGGGAAAGACCGATGACATGCAAGTCCTCTTCCCTCTCAGAGCCCAAGCTGTCCTTCTTCTCTTCCCTTAGCTTAGATTGGGAGGTGAGGAGTTCCCTAACAGAAGATAGCAAAATAAGCAGCGTACCTTCAAGATGATAACCAGTAGGCCGGCACTCACAAGTAGAGGGATGAGACTACTGATGAACCAGCTAAACCAGAGGATGCCATTATCCAGGCCCATGATCCGCATGGTCTCCTTCAGCCGTGCCTCCTTCTCATACACGATGCCCTTGATGATAACAGCCACAGAGTAAATCCAGGCCAGTGTCATGAAGAGGGGCATCGACCGGCTCATCACCCGTAGGAAGCTGGAGACACCAAGGAAGGGAAGGGCAAGAATGAAAATTAGGCTTATGGGGCCAGGGCCTTGGCCTACATGATAGAGGCCCCACATTTGCGTCACTAAGGGCAAGTTCCTTTGGCCTCCAAAATACATAGTTCTTTGTGAGCATGCTGACAGAAACAAAAACTAGGCTGACAAAGTATTGCCAAGCAAAACTCCTTTTGGAGATGGAGTTTGCTTTAGTGACTAGCTAGCACCAAGCTCAAGGTAGGTTACATTTTATTTCATTATTTTATTTTAAAGGTGATGTTCAGAGGGCTTACAGTTATATAACGGAAGTAATGAGTACATTTTTTATGGAACATTGTTACTCCCTTCCTCTTTTTCTCCCACTTTCCCTCCCCCACCCAATTCCACTCCCCACTCCAAGTTGTAAAGTTCATTTCCAAATAGTGTCTTGGGAGTATCACCATTTCGTTATTCTCCTTTCTTTCCCCAAATCAGATAGGTGCATATACAAGACACAGGGTTCCAAAATCAAAAATAGTGACAACAGGAGATAAACAAACAAAAAATGAAGGGGAAAGAAAGAAATAACTTCACACTATATATTAGAAAACAAAAACAAAAAAAAACTTCTGTTTCCATATCTTGGAGTCATTTTGATTAGCATCATTTTATATGGTCAAATATACACAGCTACTGAGCTATTGTGAACCTCCACTAGGGCTATCCTAGACATATATTAATAATTACAAATGAGGGGAAACATGGAGCCTGTTTCTTTCGATCTAGCCAAAGTACTAAATCCAACCTAGTTTTACATGTAAGTCCCTAGCTCTTAGGTCATCTCACTGTTGAGTTGCTTATAGTTTAACTCTGATCACAGAGCAGAAATACACATCAGACAGCTTGTACCCATTATATTTCATATTCCACTCTAGCAGAGGAAATGTAGTGCTGCAAAGAAAGAACCACAGATTGTAGACCCTGCAACTTGAGGCTCCAGTCCTGATCTTACTACTTACGTGCCAACTGACCACATGACAATAGTCAAAGGCTCTTAGGTCCTCAAATATCTGTGAGTTCACCCTAACACACACTTTCTGGAATAACCCACAGCTTACAGGTCTTTGGGAAATTCTGGCTAATCATCTTGAAGGAGAAAATAAAATTTCTGGTGACCTTAAAAAATGCGGGTTGGCCACATACACACATACAGACACACACAGACACACACACACACACACACACACACACACAGTCCAGGATTTGGAAGAGAGATGGTATTTTGAGAATCTTGCAATAGCTATACCTCTTCCCATTCTCTCTCCAAGAAATCGTTAGCTTCAAAGACACAGTTCTCACAATAAGAACTTGGCAGCTTAGCAACTTTGCCCTAAAAGATTATCTAAAAAGTCTAAGATAGGAAATCTTGTTCAGCTTCATTTTGTTCAATCAATTTTGTTCAGCTTTGGATTGTTTCAAAATGTGGTTCAATAATACTTGGAAGGAGTAGACAAACTTACAGGAAATCCACCTTTGTTTCTGAGTTTGGGAGTCTGTGCACATATGCTCTTGTATATTTATCATGGCATTTTTAATCTTCCTCCTTGGGCAAATCTTAAAAGAGTGCAATGTGCAAAATAAAAAAAGGTAGTAAGAAGGAGGTAGAAAGAAGGAGGTGTTAGTTGTATGTGCACACGTAAGTTTGTCTACAATGTGGACAATATTGTTATCTATCTTTAGCTGGCATGTTATTTTTCAGGTCATTCACACACATTTACATACACACATACACATTCTCCCTACAACAGTATTCTTTGGCAATTGAATAAGGATAATAGCTTGCTGGTAACTTACATGTCATCAACGTAACAGGGGTAGGGCATCTGTTGCATATAGACACCTGTTTTCTTCTCAGTACCAGTCAACACCCTTATGATTGCCTGCTCCACCACATCCTGCAGATAGGCGAAGCCTCCCCAGACATACCGCATGTCCTCAAATGGGTCAGCCCGAGGACCAGGGTCCCAATACCTAAAACCAAACCACAAGGGAGTGAACATTCCTTAGGAGCACACATTGTAAAAAAAATCCAATCACCCACAGTCCCACTGGGCCACTCTTTGTTTTTGTTTTTTTACTTTCTGGTCTCTAGTGACATGTATGGGTATTTTTCAACCAAAAAAATAATCATCATGAACATACCACACTTAGTATTTTTATCTTTGTTGCCTATATAACACTGCATCGAGTGGACATAAAAAATTTACTCCACCATTCCCATTTTATTGGTTTTATTCCTATCTAGTGGTAAAAGTTGAAAGGCTTTTCTTTTTATCCTCTTCTCTTATTGATTTAGGGGTTAATTTCCTTGAGTAGAAATTCTGATATTTTATGACCATAGAAATAATAGACTGCAATATGATGCCTTCATCAAAATCATGTCATCAAGGATTTTAAAAAATTCTACCAAGTTATTTATTAAAATAAAGTACCACAGGGCACTGGTGGCTCACATCTATAATCCTAGCTATTCAAGAGACTAAGATCCATGGATTGAGATTCAATGCCAGAGTGGGTAGAAAAGTCTATCAGAGTCTGACCTCTAAATAACCAGCAAAAAGCCAGAATGGAGGTGTGGCTCAAGTGATAGAGTACCAGAAAAGCTAAGCAAGAGTGTGAGGACCTGAGTTCAAGCTCCAGTACCACCAGTACAAATGTGTGTGTGTGTGTGTGTGTGTGTGTGTGTGTGTGTGTGTGTGTGTGTGTGTAAAATGAAGTACCTCCCTCCGCTTTGACTTCCCTATAATTAGGCTGATAGAATGGGATTCAACTTACCCATCTTTGATTTTATTGGTCCTTTCCACATTGTCAATGTCCATTCGGATCTTGTACTTGACATGACGGGGCAGTTCAGTACTGCCTGGACTGACACCCGTGAACACAATACCAGCCCAGAACTTCCTCTCATCCAGCAGCTCCATGGACTTGTTGATGAGTCGGACTTCAGTCGGTATGGGTTCCAGCTTGTTCAGGTTGACACACTGATGGGAAAACAGCCTTAGTGAGAACTCTGCTGGTCGGGAATGTAGGCAATGGCCAGAACACACAGCCTCCTGGGAGAAGCAAGAACTAACTGCCCATTAACTGCCTGATAAAAAGTAACATGTTAGCAGGGATCCAGTAGCTCACACTTGCAATCCTAGCTACTCAGGAGGGTGAGATCTGAGGATCACAGTTCAAGGCCAGCCCTGACAGAAAAGTCCCTATGAGACTCCTATCTCCAATAAACTACTCAAAAAAGGCAGAAGTGGCACTGTAGCTGAAGTGGCAGAGCGCTAGCTTTGAGCACAGAGAGGCTCAGGGACAGCACCTGAGTTTAAGCCCCAGTACTGGCAAAAAAAAAAAAAGTAACATTTTAATCAGCACTATCCAATCCTCTGTTTGCCAATCTTCAAGAATGCATCCGTATTTAACTGGAATTTAAGTGATATACTGGAAGAATTTAGGCGTAAGTTACTTGTATGGCTTTTGTGAAAAGAAATACATGAAAACAATTATCCTATCTGTTTTCCTCTTTGTTTTCTTAGCAATGACTCACAGCAACTAGTCACCGAAAACATACGTCAAAAACAAGTTTACTCACCTCTGTTAAGTGCCAGCATTTCTAGGATTTTTTAAATTTGTCTGAATTAAATTTCTGGTTTACATAAAATGCCTTTTTAAGGGAGCCCAAAACATATTGGAATATCAAAACACAGGGAAACTTAGAAGGTAATGGATAGTAAGACTCGTATCATTGTAAAATAAAGCTAGAGTTAACTTTATTGACTCTTTCAACCAACACTTACTGTCTTTAGTATACCAACCCCTTAAAGGATAAGTGATATTACACATTAGCTCCAACATTCCCTTCTGTCTCTAACATTATTGCAACAGTGGTTACAAAGAAATAAAGCCCTAAGCCTTTTTCACTGAAACACATAACAGATACTCACCTCCATGAAGCGAGATATTGTCTGGATTGCCTGGTTGGTCTCATTGAAAGCCTCTCTCCAGGTATATACGGAGCCATTAGAGGACTGAATATCCTCTGGGTGTTTGGCCAGAAATGCAATGATATCTTGGGCTGTCCAATCTAAGCCATCTAATTGCTGTTCCCAAAACTGGTCATTGCTTTTGCTTTCCAACAGCATCTGTCATTTCAGTGAGAATGTACAATGAACATCTACATTTTGATGCCAATTACCTACTTAGGACTGCTCAATTAAATTGGAAGACTATGAAAGATTACCCATCATGACACCATATTTATATACAAGTAATTATAAATAAAGCAGGTTTAAGTGTCTTCCATGTTAATGTCTTAAGAGATTGAAAACAAATCAGCCATTAGAAACTATTCTTCCTGCTAATAAAAAATGCATGGTAAATATTTCATTGCAAAAATCAAAAACAGCGGCAAAGGAGAAAACAAACAAACAAAAGCAAAATAACAAAAAAACTCATTTCCATTTCTTGGAATTCATTCCTATAAGCATCATTTTATATGATCATATGCACATAACTCTTGATCCCTTGTAATCTTCTCCTAAGAATATCTTCCTTTGGTCTCCTATGTGAGTGTTTAGAGGCCTATATAATTTATCGCGTCCAAGTGTTGTCTTTTACAAACCAGTGTGACTTACAGGCACATTCTAGTTATGACAAATGAGGAAAACTATGCAACTATATTTCTCTGGGTCTGGCTTGCTTCACTTGATATAATTTTTTCTAACTCTTTCTATTCATAGTACTCTTAAGTATGGGGCTGAGACTCAAAATCAAGACCAGTCTGAATTCTCAGTTTTAAATTCCAGATCCACAGTATTAACTGTAATGACACTTCACAATATTTTATTGAGAGGCCAATATGCTTCACATCTCATACTACTCCAAGAGCGTGGTAGTTTTTATGTTCCCCATTTCGCACATGGGAAAACAGAGGTTCAGGAAGGGTAAGTCCCTAATAAAAGGACACAGAGCTAATAAGTGGCAATGCCAAGACACAAAACAAAGGACCTCTGATTCTAATGTATCCTCTATGTTGGATCACCTCCCTCTTCTGAGATATAGTCTAATGACCCCCAAGTAAAAATTCTAGTCTAGACTGAGCTTAGTTTCAAGACTTCATGCTTCTTACTTCTGGTTAAATGAAGCCAAAGGCCATCTTTTCCAGCATCAAGACACATAGTTTATGATGCAAAAAAGGCCTACCTAGCCTTCACCTGCTAGTTCTTCACATGTGTCAGAGAAGCCAATGTGGGCTGACTAGCAGATCTGGTGGCTGGGCAGAGCCCACACAGCTGTGTAGCCAAAGAGCAGAGCACTGCAGGCTCAGCAAAAAGGAGACATGTTTGCAACTCTCCTCACAGTTTCAGAGGAAAGAGAAGCCTCAGCCTTTCAGAGGAAAGCAGAAGCCTCAGGCTTGGCCTCCTTTTCCTAGATAACAGGCTGCAAGAAGTGCTAAGGACTGAAATGTCCAGGCTTGTGGAATTTGTTCCTTAACTTATAGAAAACAGTAGTTGTACTGGGCGCCAGTGGCTCACGCCTGTAATCCTAGCTACTCAGGAGGCTGAGATCTGAGGATCACGATTCAAAGCCAACCTGGACAGGAAAGTCCATGAGACTCTTATCTCCAATTACCCACCAGCAAACTCAAAGTGGTGCCTGTGGCTCAAGTGGTAGAGCACTCACCTTGAGCTGAAGAGCTCAGGGACAGAACCCAGGCATAGAGTTCAAGCCCCATGACTGACAAAACACAAAAACAAACACAAAAACAGCAGTTGTTGGTAAGGCTCCTCTGACTCCATAGGATGACAGCTCCCATGTCTCTGTCCCAGACCAACCTCCTGCACTGCAGACCCCCAAAACCATCAGCCTGGGACATCCCCATCACCCACCCAGCTAGAAATCAAGAATCATCTTGCTGCCTCCTTCTTTCCTCTCCACCACCAAGCCAATTGACAGGTCTGCCAAAGCATTATGCCTGCTATACTCCCTCACATAACCTCTGGTTATGCCTTCCATTTGTCCATCTGCCCTCTTAAATCACAGTAATGCATTTATATCTCCATCACTGAAGGATCCTTCCTCAGTTGTCACCTGTCCCCCAGGAGATCCAGGGACATTCCTAAACTCTGGAAGGGTTTGCTCCAGATGGGTAGAGTCTAGAAAATCCAGTGAGTGGTCCTGGGATCAATGAAGTTCAAGACAAGAAACCTGGCAAAAGATCCTCTCCTGCCTCTTAATGGCAGCAGAAGCAAAAGGAAGAGGCCTCCCGCACCATGGCAATCGGAAATAGTCTAACGATTCTGACTCAGCCCAAGGCAGAGATGATGTGATTAAATGGCTCTCAAGCTCAGGCAAAGGAGACATTCCGTTCTTCTCAGACTGCTCTGCTTTTGAATCCAATTGTCTCCAGTGCACTTATCCCTTTCAAGTGGTTCGGAAGCATTAAGTGCAATTCCCTTCCGTGCAGTATGGGTTGCTATGCACTGGTGCAGAGCCTTGGAAACTATCGCTGGGCCTGTCTGCAGACGGGGCCACATGTTGGCTCTCACACTTCCTTCTAAGACCTACCAAGACATAAGAAAGCTAAAGAAGATGCTGAGGGAGCTGGGAAGGTGGCTCAGTGGTAGAGTGCTTGCCTCGCATGTATGAGGCCCTGGGTTTGATTCCTCCGCACCACATAAGCAGAAAAAGCTGGAAGTGGTGCTGTGGTTCAAGTGGTAGAGTGCTAGCCTTGAGCTGAAGAGCTGAGGGACAGCACCCAGGCCCAGAGTTCAGGCCCCACAACCGACAAAAAAAAAAAAAGAAAAGAAAAGAGAAAAGAAACATACTCATTACCTGACTTATCTAACTGTAACCCCTCTGTACATCACATTTACAATAACAATAAAAAAATAAAATTAAATTTAAAAAAAGAAGATTCTGAGGTTGGCTCAGCAATCAGGACTGGAAATACAGTCAGAGTCTTTCAATCATCCAACTCTACCTTCAGCCACTGCCTCACTAAATTCTGCACACAACTAATATCTGGCCATGAGAAGACTGTGATGGCATACCACATAAAGCTACCATTGAACCATGTCCGATGTTGCTGGAGCAATGGCAACACTGAGGCTTGAACTAAGCTCATGACGTTGCAACTGGTTTACGTTAAGAGTTCTCATCTGGGTCATGTGTGAAAAAGTGCTATCAACTCACTTCTCAAGTGAGCACAGTCACCGGGGGAAACTCACCCGCACAAGGTCCATTTCTTGGCTACTCTCCATGAAGGTCCAAATCTTAGGACTGAGTTCTTCCCACATGCCTTCCAGATCATGAAAGACAGCCAGTTCCTGGAAGGTCTTGTTCACCTAGAGTCCAGTAGGGAACCAGGAGTCATAGAAAAAACAAAGGGAGGCAGAAATTATAAGCAATCCAGTGCTCCTAAAAGATATCCCATTATACAACCTTTGACCAGTTTTCTCCCATCCCCCCAAGAAATGCTTATCTGTAGCTATGATTCAAATACCCAGGGCTTTGGAGCTGGTCCAAAACAATCAGTCCTAGTCTGAATTACCCATATTTTGAGGTCCCAGAAGAACCATGAGTATATTCAGTCTACTCCATCTGAAACCTCCTTGACTTGTCCCCCCCACCCCGCCGCACCCCCCAAAAAAAATCTTGAAGGAGTCACAAGGAGGGACTGTTGGCCTGGGTAGCTTACCTCAGCCATAACCTGTCTCGTGGCTGGAGTGTCAGGTGTATACAGAATCTTTCCAACAAGCAGAGGCTTGAGAGCTTTCCAAATAATGCGAGAAAGAGGACTAGACTCCAAATTCTTCATCAGATCATTACAGTAAGGAGCTACAAAGATGGCAAAGGATACGGGTTCATTCAAATACACAGCCATATGCTGGTAGAAACATGCAGAGTTTTGGAGCCAGTCAGGTGGTACTGGCTACGAATCCCAGCTGGACCACATTACAACCACATAACAAATGGCTTTCCTTGTCTGATCCCTAGTTTTCCCCTTGTTAAAATAAAGTTAGTATCATCTGCTTGGCAGAGTGTCAAGAGGATTAACTGAGATATTTTCCATAAATCCTCCAGAATAATGCTTCAGTAACCAGAGCTTCTTATAACTCACAGCTGAGCCAGTCCAGGAAAATGTTTTTACTGTATACTTGTACCCATAACTTTGCCTTGAAGGCTGGATTTAGACTTTTGTTTTTGGCTTTAAAACAAATACCCAACATTTTCCTTTTACTTAATAGATCCTATCACAAGGATACTTACTATTTAATAAAAAACTCCCCAGTGAAAACTCCAAAATTATAACAAACAGATGGGATTGATTATTCCTGATTTTTTTTTAATCATTGAGCCAGGCTCTATTGGTTCACACCTTATAATCCTAGCTACTCAGGAGGCTGAGAGCTGAGGCTCACAGTTCAAAGCCAGCCCAGACAGCAAAGTCATAAGACTCTTACTTCCAATTAGCCAAAACAAAAGCTAGAAGTAGAGCAATGGCTCAAGTGTAGAGCACCAGCCTTGAATGAAAAAGCTAAAGGACAGCACCCCAACCCCGAGTTTAAGCCCCAGGACCAATACACACCCAAAATAAATTACTGTGAGCTTTTCAAGTTGTTTAAGTTATCAAGTAGCCTCTATATGCTTCAAAGATATCAGAATTACAGAGGAGAGGATTGTGAGAGATCAAACCCACAACTTTACTCATACTAAGCAAGCACACAACCACTTGGCTACATCCTTAGCCCCAGAATATAAATATAAACACATACTCCTGTCTCAGCTTCCCAAGGGCTGGGATTTCAGATGAGTTCCACCCTGCCCAGCTCACAATTTTTTTAATAAAGAAAATTTGCTCACAATTATATTTCTTGTTCAAGTAAAAGCTCCCTTGGGTTGACATGCAGGCTGGGGGAGGTGAAGAGAGGAAATGACATTAAGTAAAACTGCCTACAATGCCTTCCTCTTCAGGTTTGTAAAGCAACTTGCAAATGTCTGAATACACTAGTCCAGAGACTACGAGGGTCTTGTATTACAGTCATGCATGAAAAGCTGTGGCTGGAAATGGAGAAAGGCCGAGCCGCATCATGTTTTCAAGGCAAAGGACGCCATTGTCTTTGACTGTAACACAGCCATGCTGCCACTGGGCACAGCCCCACAGAACTACCCATGTGCAGCAAGCAGATATGGAATTACAAGGCTCTTTAACACTGCCTTGCGGCTAAAAACATAAAACAAACAACAGATCAAATGTCTTCAGTGTGATGGTTCACACATGCTATTAACAGGTGTTTTGGAGGCAGTGTGGCTTACTGGAGAAAAGCTGGGAGCCAGGAGGATTTGAGCTTGAATCCCAGCTCTTGTGGATTAGCTATGTAGTAGCTTTGACCAAGTCTCTTACCCACCTCTGAGCCTATGAAATGTAGGGTTTCAGATCCTACCCTGCAGAGTTATTATGCATGCAAAGTGAGATAACTTAAACAGAATGTATTATATATTGGAAATTTTACAAAGTTAGATTTTCTTTTTCTTGAATTTTTTTTTATTGTAAAGGGATATACAGAGGGGTTACAGTTACATAGGTCAGGTAATGAGTACACTTCTTTTTTTAACAGTGTCATCGCTTTTCTCATTCTTCTCTCAGTTTTTCCCTCCTGCCTACCCCCCCCCACAAGTTGTATAGGTCAACATAGTGTCTAGTGAGTATCACTGCTGCATTTCAAAGTTAGATTTTCTTGTAATGGTTACTATTACTCTTACTATTGTTAGAGTTTCATTTTAAAGCTTACTTCAATAGTAATAATAACATTGTTTAAATACTACATCTTATTCTTTCTCAGTTTTCTAGTTTTGCTAAGGTATAGTGGACAAATAAAAATGAAGTATATTTATGACATATGACCTGATGTTTTGATGTGTGCATCCACGTGAAATGGTTTAAAGAATAAAGATAATTAATGTACTCATCATCATACATAGTTGTCTTGTGTGTATGGTAGGAATACTTATGATCACTTCTCACAGAAATTTTTAGGAAAATACACACAATGCTACTAACTACTGCCACCACGTTGTACATTAAATCTCCGGGGCTTATTCAGCTCACATAACCAAATTTTTAAAATCCTTGATGGACATCTCCTATTCTTTCCAGCTCCTGGCAACCTCCATTCTACTCTAGTCAACTTCTTTACATTCTAGATGAGTGAGATCATGTAAGATTTATCTTTCTGCCAATATCTCATCCTTGATTATTCCAGAAAATTGGGAGAGGCTGATTCTCAATTACTTATTCATTTTGATAAACACTACTACATACTTGACATCTGCCAGGTCACAAAGAACTGCGGGCAATTAGCATCTCCCGAGGAGAAGGGCCAGCAGAAGTAGGGGAGATGACAGAGGCCGAGCCCACGGCTAAGGCGGGTGGGAAGGAAGCTTTGGTCTGCACAAATACTCACTTGTAGAGTTGTCATAGAAGCTGTCAGCATCTTCTTCCGTGCCATTGCCTCCAAAGAGGGCTTTGTAGTTGTTGTCCTCATACCAGTTAAGAGACTTGATCTTCAGTCCCCCGCCCTCTGGATGGCCACAGACGATACGGGACACAGCCTGGTATATCTGCGTGGAGGAGCTGCTGCTGTTCACATTGGTTAGAAACATCACCTCCTGCCGCATGTCACTCCAGCTCCTCATGCTGAACAGCTAAAGATCAGGAATTGGAGGAAAAGGAGAGGGAAGGGAAAGAGGGCAAGAGGGAGAGCAAGGGTTGAAGACAGAAGAGATAAATAAAATATCTTAATCTCTTAACCCTTCAAAAATCCATGACCCAAAACGTATTGTGTCTGACATCATCTCACAGCCTCATGATGAATCTTCCTACCCTACCTGTGGTCCTGGGACATAGCAAGTTAGACAATGAGCCGTTCATTATCAAAGTGACTTGAAGGTATTGTATTGAGAGAAGCCAGTGGCTCTTGCTCATCCTAGATGAGGAGCAAGCAGGGCACAAAGAGCTGCTGCCAAGGAAAAATGTGCACTGTCCACTTGGAGAACTTCCCTCTGATCAGCACAGGAACATCACCTGCTCTCAGTTCATTTTTGACTCCTGACAGAAAGCAGGACCAGTGATAAAAGAGAAAAGAGTGCAACATAGCCTGAGTTTACAGGCAGCCTCCCTTGCTAGACCTCAGCTTTGCTTTCTCCAAGGCCAAAAATGAAACAGCAAGGAACAGGGCAGGAGAGAATCTCAAGAGCAATGAAGAGTAAGCCAATGTCAGCTAAGCCCTGGAGAAATAGATATGGACTGGCATAGCAGTCTCTCTTTCTGTCCCTGTGAAGAATTACAGTTGGCTCAGCTTCTCTGCCCAGCCAAAGGTCATCAACCTTCCTAATGAGAGTCACCAATGACAGCCTGGAAGGCACTGCTCCTGAAAGGGAAGCCAAAAGTTAAGCCTCTTCTGTCAGAGACACATGAGTGGAGTTAAAAGAAAGAAGATGGAAGAGAAGGGAATGCATGAAGCGTGTTGATGGTGTTTAAGCCTGGAGTTTTCTTTATTTTACAAGTGTTCTACCTTTTCCATGATGAACATGTAACACTCTGTTCAGAAAACATAAATTTTAGTATTTGGGAGGGAAAAGGCATAAGTATTAAATAATGAGTTAGAGAAGCAGCTGAAAATAAGACTGAGGGCTGAATATGGTGTCTCATACCAGTAATCTCAGTTACTTTGGAGGCAAGGCTAGGAGAATCAGTTTGAAGCCAAGCTGAACAAAATACCATTTCAATGTACAAGCTATTTGTGGTGATTCATCCTTGCAATCCCAGCTACAGACAGGAGGACCAAGGTTTAAGGCTGGCCTGGGATAAAAGCAAGACCCTACCTGAAAAATAATCAAAGCAAAAAAGGGCTGAGGGTGTGGCTTAAGTGGTAGAGTACTGACTTAGCAAGGTTGTGATCCTAAGTAAAAAAAAAAGAAAGAAAAGAAAGAGAGAAAGAAAGAAAGAAGAAAGAAGGGAGGGAGGGAGGGAGGGAGGGAAGGAGGGGAAGGGAGGGAGAGAGCGAGGGAGGGAGGGAGGGAAGGAAGGAAGAAAGAAAGAAGAAAAGAAAAAAAGAACTAGACCGGGTCTGAAAAAAATTCCCCATCAATTTTTATTTCCCAATGTCCTATATATTACACAATGTATTATTTATGATCACTGCCCAGCTCAGCTCCTTAGATAGGAGGTCTCTGCACAGTTTCTCCTTCACAAGTCTGATTTGAAATGAAGCTAGAAGTCAGAGGAAAGGTTAACCGCTATAGGCCCTCTGTTCTGATGAGGGTTATTCAAACCCATGAGTCAACATGCAGACCTAAAAGGCCTAAAAGGCAAGAAGAGACAATATACCCAAAATTGAACTTCACAGGCTAGATTTTACTAGGGAAAAGGCTGGATTGAGGAATCCTGTTATTTCCATTCATTTAGAGATACACATTTCAGTGAAATGTAAAAGGACTTAATAAATCTTGTCAGTGAAGAGGCTACATAGAGAAACCACGACTCAGATAAACACAGAACATGAAGGGGTGGAAGAGAATTCTCTTTCTCACAATGTGTGATTACCTAGGGACAGAGAGAACCCTTGGTAGAAAGGTCTAGACTAGATACACGGCTATAAGCCTCAAATTAGCTCTGAGAATCAATGAACTTCAGTTTCTTCATCTCTGAAGTAAGTACATCAAAGCAGATCATGTTTTAGATAATTTACGATTCTAACATTGATATTGCTTCTTACATGATATTCAGATTTAAAAGACTACCTTAGGAAAAAAGAAAAGCCACTGTGGAGCCGATCACTTACTAATGCTAGAAAAACACAACTTACCTCTTGGGCCAGACTTCCAAGACTATCCAATAAAGTTCTAGTAGCTTCCACCAGCTGCTGAATTGGGAAGGAAGATGTGGAGTTTAGTCCTATCTGGAATGAGAAAAGAAATACTTTTGTTTCTGAGCTCAGATATTGAGAATAACCAATTGAAAATAACATTGAAAATAACCAATTAAAACCATCCATTCCCAGTCTTCAATTTAAACACACACACACACACACACACACACACACACACACACACACACACACAAGAAACTAACCAAAAGAAAGGACATTACAATTATTCTAAATGGTGGCATGTAGGTTTCATTTTTTTCTTCAAATAAGAATTTCTAATTCTACGATGAATGGTTTCTAATGTTGTAGGAATACCTAACTAAAGCTAATGCATACACCGTGGATAAAAACATCTCATGTGGTGTGTACCTACTCATCTTCATCTCAGTGTAAGTGCATGTGTACCCTAGAACACGACAATGCTCACAGAGCCTCACTTTCCCAGGGTTCTTTGCAGGAAGGTGTGTTTGTACATTCCCTCTCTGGTCCACATACTACCGTTACTTTGGATTGTGAAGTTCCAAACTGAGACTGATCCACGGTGGTGCCAATCACAGGTGCCCAGAAGTGTCTCTTAAACCCCAGATCCAACACTGACCCCTTTCCCAGTTCCCAGCCACCTATTCCCTAATAAGTACAAATGGGTGAAGAATGCTTGTCACACTTAGAATATGGTTTCTTCATCTGAATAAATTTACATACTCATAGGTAACAACTTTCCTTTCCTCCAAGTTTTTAATGTCAATGTCTTAAAATTAGGGGCAAGCTTATTTTTCTCATTTTACAAGTTCCACAACTCAGCAAAACTCCATACATACAGCAGGACCGACTACATGACGGTTTTACCCCTGAGTGTAACTGTTGTGGGATGTAAACACAAGGACCTCACTAAATCTGCCATGAGCATCAGACATTTATGGAAACTACATCTTCTGATAAGACTTTGTTGTTGTACTTGTGGTCTGCTGGCTTCTTTAGCTGAATGCTTTTTTTGGTTTTGGTGTATAACAGAAGCCTTAGCTCAATCTACCCATAAATAATAAGGTAGAGCAGTCAATGTGATTCCACACTATCGGTTTAAGAATAAATAGTAAATGTTCTCTAGGAATATTGGAAACCTGCATTCAATACAAACCTCCCTGTTCAAATGAGTGTTGACTGGAATTACATATATAGGCATGAGCTGATCTTGATCTCTCTTTCTCTGTCTTTTTTTCTCTCTCTCTCTAACACACACACATATACACAAAAACACACACATACACACACACAATTCAAATTCAGAATCAAGTTTCAAGCTTGGATTATCATTTATATATTTTTACTTAAGATATGATTTTACTTTTCTGTGCATAAACATTATAAAATACAAAGAGGAGACTGATACAGATTGAAGAATATTACACTGGAGGCATGACTCAATTCGTAGAACACCAGCCCTGAACAAAAAAGTCAATGGAGAACTCCAGGTTCTGAGTTCAAGCCCCAGTGTGCTCGCTCTCTCTCTCTCCTCTCTCTTTCTCTCTTTCTCTCTACACCCACACCCTCCCCCACCCACACACACATACATACAAATAGCAATGTTACAAAGGGATATTTTCTACCTCACATCATTACTCATGAATAAATTCTTTGCATATAAAAGTAAAAATGAAAGTTTAAAACCTACAGGAGAAATATACACTTATGAACTTAAAGTAGGAAATCAGTTCTTTAACAAAATATAAAAACATGAACTAATTAGCAAAAAATGACTCTACATGTTAACAGTAAAGACTGTACCTACAAAATACCATAAAAAAGCTGAAGACTTTATTGAGCTGGGCTCAATAAATGTTGGCTGAATGAATTGATTTGTTTATAGATAATCACCACATAAATGAAGACAGATAAAGGATATTATGAATATATTTGAAATCATAGCCAAATAGAAACAACAAGATATCCTTCAAATTAAATGCAATTGAAAACTATTTTTCACTTTACAAAAATCATATCTGCATCTAAGTTTTTCAGGGGCTCTAATGCTAAATAAAGTGTGAGTATGCATACATTTGAATAGTTTTTTTCAAAACAAAGTATAATTCTTTTTTCTCCTGCAAATGCATGCTAGCTATCATTACAATATTTCAAATTTTCCTTGAAAATCTCTACTTATTTTTCTCCTATTCCAAAAGTCAAACTTAGGGTTAGGATTAATATTCCAAACCACCAAGAAGTAACCATATGCCACATATAAAACCCAGAAGTAATCACTATATCTGAATAATTTCCACAACAGCAAATATTTCCTTTGAAGAACACTTTGATATTTTTTCATGAAAGTTGGAAATTATGAAATTTATGCCTAACAAAGGTATTACACTTTTAAAATATAACTAAGCAATTTGAACATAACTTTTAAAGTTCATGTGTTTCACACATTAAAATACTTCATTTAGAGCTATTTCTAAGCATAATTAACTACATGGATTAGCATAATTTAGAACAAAAATCACTTTTATTTAGAAACAGCAGCACTTTTCAAGAACAAAGTAGTATAATTAAGACAAAAATATCTGTGCAGATGGAATAAAAATGGGCAGTCTTATTAGCACAAGGCTAATTCCACCAGGCTAGCCTACAGTCTCATGCTCTCCCTTCCCAAAGGAATGAGGTGAAGGTAAAGACAGTGTGTTGCTGAACCAAGAAAGTAATTATGAGAGTTGCGATCACTTAACAAGAGAAAGTGGCTTTTGTAATCAAATGGGCATCAAAAAGAAAATGAGCATCCAATTAAAACAAGGCCAAACAGCAGAAAGGCCAGGCAGCAAAAAGGAAAAGGAAGTGTTCTCTCCCACCAAATCCCACACAGCTGCTTTGAGGACTACGTGTAACAAGTTGATGTATCAAGCCCTCTCTACAAAGCCACCATGGAGAAGATACACCCAATCTGTACTCTGAGTCCTCGTCCATAATAGTGAAGACAGAGCTAAACAATGGTCCTTTTGAGACAAGGCCCCTTTTTTACTTCTTACCCATCAGTGGGTTTATATACAGATCAGCTGTGAGGTCACTGGTCTTCCTGGAACCTCAAGTTTTACTTATGAACTAAGTTCTGCCCTGGTGAGAATGTGCTGCAGGAATCAGAAGAACAGGGTCTTCTCCATTTCAGGCAGAAGATATCATCAGCGATGGAGATGATCTAACCACATAGTGGTATTATGTACAAAACCCACCGTATTGCTTATACAGATATATAAATCTCTATGCCTGACTCTGCCCTCAAGGATCAGACATCATATTCCTATCACAGGGACAATGATGAGCCAGGACTAATGTTCTAACCTAGCTAACTCCAATGGCACTTTCTTCCTACTGCATATCACCATGTCCCTGGCTGGCAGAAGCTGATGTTGTTATAGGATCTGGGTGGGAGATCTTCAATGAAAATGGGATAGGAAGAAACTCCTCACAGAATCTGTGAAGAATTCTTCAAATGCCCAGTCCCAGCCTGAACACGTGTTCTCAGAACCACCAGAATGTATTCCTCTCTGCCTATGCCATGGTTGAACTTTCAGCATCTCTCTGAAACTGTGCCTGGTATAAAGCAAATGTACGGAAAAAAATAAAATAAAATAAACTTCATGACCTTTGTTGGATGAATGTCTCATGTTTTAATCCTAGGTGCTCTGCTTACTACCTCTCTTTGGTTTGTATATTAAAAACCCTAATGGGCGGTGTTTAATACACATTATCATTGTTCTTAGAATATGAGCAAGCTGAAAAAGGATCAATAAAAGCTTGAGGCCCTGAGTGAACACTTCAAAGACAAAAATGAAACATACTCCCGTCTTAGAAGGCAGTTGTGGCAGGTGAACCTAATTTCTGGAATCTATCTTACATTATGGGGCAAAATGTGAAGTAAGAGACCTTAAAGGGATTATCCTGCGTGGACAATTTAATCACATGAGCTCTGAAAGCCATAGAGCTTTCTCTAGCTGGAAAAAAAAAATAAAAAAGAGATGGCAGGAAAAGTCAGAGATTGAAATCATGAGAGGGATGTAACCCGCATGCTGAACCATAGAAAAAGGATGAAGAGAAACAGTAGGCTCCCAGGAGCACAGACAGACCTTCCTCTTGCTGAAGGCAGGAAGGAATCAGGGACTCTAGTCGGTAAGTGCAAGACACTGGATTTGGCTGACAGCCTATAAAAGCTTAAATACAGATGCATCTTAAGAGCCTTCCAAAGGTACGCAGCTCTGCGAACACCCTGATTTCAGCCATGAGAGACTGTATGCTGAGTTAGCCCCAACTATACTAAGACTTTTGGGCCTTCACCATTGTGAGATGATGAACGTGTGTAGTGTTAGGCTGTGTAATTTGTTACAGCAGCAACAGTGAAACCAAAACAACCAGCCAGAAACAAATAAATGGCTCTGGCCAAAATTTTCTGATCCAGTATTATAACTCCTCCCTACAGTCCAAAACAAAGACTGGAAGTTACTGTGGGGCAGGAGAAACAGAGGGCCAGGGGAGATCCCCACAGTTTTCTATCCCCTACCTGAGAAAGATGTGTACTGCATCAGGAGGGACCTCAGGGAAAGTTGAAAGTGGGGAAAACTCTGCCTGCTAGGCAGTCACCTGTATACTAAATCCACCTGCTGAGCAATGAGAACATGGAATTTGATTTCAGAGGTCGTAGGCTCCTCTTAACAATTGTTGCTTAACAATACGTATACTCTGGACACTCAGCAACATGACTCTCCCTTCTGATACAAAGGCGTTTATCCGAGAGATAGTATTTCATTTATCAACCCATCCTTGGACCCATCAGAAAGTCTTATTGAGGATCTCAGCTGAGTCTAGTTCCTAGAACCATCTTGATAAATACATAATAAGCACTCAATGAAGAGCCCAATTAATACATTTTTTAGCTTCGCAAGTGCTCAGATGACAGGTGTATATCACCACTCCTATATAAATGAGTATGTTTCTAAGTTTAAAAAAAAAACAGAGAGTGTCTAATTACATTGTAATAATACTGGAGAACTTGAAGGATATAATAGCATCCTGACATAGAATACTCATTTCCATGTGAGGTACAGATTTAAATACAGATGTAACCATGAACCAAGGGGTGAGGGTTTGGCAATACCTAGGCAAAAACTGCACTTCTTCACTGAAATGTTTTCCAGGACTACCTTGCTTGGTATGATTCTGACCTAACTTTGATCTACAAAAAGAGACTTCCATCTTACTGGTAATTGTGTGAAGCTTAAGGTGACTATTACTCATGTCAATTATGATCAGCTTTTCTTCGTTGAACACCTAGTATGTGCCAGAATCTTCATACATATGTCCAATAATCACAATAAATGATAGATTAAATCATCTGCCCATAAAAGAAGAGGAAGCCAGGTGTGGGTGGTTCATGCATGTAATTCTAGCTATTCAGGAGGCTGAGATCTGAGGCTCCTGGTTCAAGGCCAGCCTGGGCAGGAAAGTCTGTGTTTGAAACTCTTATCTCCAGTAAACCACCAGAAAACCAGAAATGGCACTGTGACTTAAGTGGTAGAGCGCTAGCCTTGAGCTGAAGAGCTGAGGGACAGCGCCCAGGCCCAGAGTTCAAGCCCGATGACTGATGACAAAAAAAAAAAGAGGAAGGCCTACAGAAGCTAAAATGATTCTTCCCCACAGTCAGTGATGACTTAAAAAAAAAAAAAGATTGAAGCAAAAGTTGAACCTATATCAGATGGCCCTAAGGCAAGATCCGTCCAATTCCTTCACATTGTCACAACACTGTTCTCCCGATCATCTGGAGGCTGGAAGGGACCCAAGAGAAAAAGCCAGAATACCCTTGGCTGAAAAATTAGGGAACACCCACACCAAAAAAAAAAGTTTTAAATAAAATAATAATAGTAAGAGGAAAATATGTTTCAAAATACATCTTTCCTGATGATCCACTTGTGGTACATAAACACACATGGACAGAATAGTTTTCCCCCATGATGCTGGGCCTGGCGTCTGGTTGCTGCCCAGTTGCTGCTCTTGGCACCATTAACCATCCATGTGCAGTAATGCCACAGGTGACATCCATCTACATCACAAGCACTGAAATTTCAACTGAGAGGCAAGAGAAAAAAAAATGCTTCCTGTAATTCAAATAGCAATCCCAATAGTCCAATTAAAGCTGTGTTTCATTCAATAAACAACATTCCAAAAGCTTTGGAAGTCATTTCATCCCAAAGGCACCCTCAAAAATCTCTTTGCACAGAACAATCCTAATCACTGATTACAATCTAATGCAAAACCCCCATTTTTTCTGATTTTTGGAAGAGAGGTTTTCTTCAGCAACAACAAAAGAGTCAAAGCAGAGCCAGAGATGTGCCACACATGCACACATCCAAAATGGACACAAAACAACACCTGCTCAGGATTCAGCTGACCCACAGGACACCACAGCAAGACAGGATGGATGCAGATGACAAGTCTGAAGGTGTATTTCCATGTACTTTGTCATGTTGTTAATCCTCCCAAACAGGGAGACAGTTTGAAGCTGAAACCCAAGATATTCATTGTCATATGATGAGGGCTAACATGTCATTCTAATTTGAGTATAATTCAGACATTATGTGAATGAAGAGATTTCACTGTGTTGCATACACAATAGATGCTTAATGAGCAAAGAGAAATGAAATAGAATAAATGGGCACCCAAATACATCAATCTACCTTCTGAAAACATTCATCTTTTCAAGAACTGAAGGGCAAACATTTGTCTTTTACTGAAATGCAGCAGCCCAAAATAGTTCCAAGAAAGTGGTTGACCACAACCTTTGGTACAATTTGTAATAACTTTGACCTTCTATCTCTCATAATGCAAAAAGAATGCCAACAAGCTGGAAATGCCTATGCAATTGAGCTCATCTATTTTGGGCTGTTATGGATACAAATGACTCCATAAAGAAATATATCTCACTTGAAATTATAATAGAGACACGATAACCAATAGAATCACAGATCATTGAACCAAGGACTTAGTATTTTTTTAAAAAACACTAAAATAGAATAAAATAAAAGCAATCTTAAGCATTGAATCTAAGTCACATGACTGGCTTAGATGCCCACCAGAAAGGAACCAGAAAGTCACAGTTCTGCACCCACCTCTGCCTCAAACATCTACTATAGCATTCGAGTCGAGCAGCATACAAGAACTTCTTGCGTGTCAGTCCAGACAATCATGCACCCTAAGGTGGGTTTCTTTTTTTCTTTCTTTCTTTCTTTTTTTTTTTTTTTGGTCAGTCGTGGGGCTTGAACTCTGGGCCTGTGAGCTATCCCTCAGCTCTTCAGCTCAAGGCGAGCACTCTACCACTTGAGCCACAGTGCCACTTCTGGTTTTTTATTGGTGATAAGAGTCTCACGGACTTTCCTGCCCTGGCTGGCTTTGAAACGTAATCCTCATATCTCAGCCTCCTGAGTAGCTAGGATTAAAGGCCTGAGCCACTGGTGCCCAGCCCTGAGGTAGGCTTCTAAGACCACATTATAAAGTGTAATCTAGACACAAGGTCTAGAGTAGAACTAAACATTCTTAGAATTTCCTGGGAAGAGTCAACTCTCTATAAAGAAGTCACGATGTTCAAAGTCCAAAAGAATTGCAATTTCATTTTACTGTAGTGAGAAACAGCTCTTTCTAAGCCCATTCTTCAGAGCTTTTCCCCCTGGTTTTGAAAAATGTACTAACAAATTAAAGCACTTTCTGGTGAGTAGTAAACCAGAATGTTGGATGGTAAAAGATGCTATTGGAGGAACATTTCACCAGAACTCTCGGAAAGCTCAGATGCATATCTACTCAGAATTATGATAGACAGCATGGATGAACAATATCCAGCCTCACTTGTACTCTTTGATTAAGAGTGAATGGGTATCATGCAGCCTTCTCTGCATGTTAGATTCCTAGGCTAACCAAAATGCTATTTGTTTGTTTTTACTTTGAAAGTACTTTTGTCACTGATTAAGTATTCCTGCAATCTCATCCATTTCCGGGGTTTCTCTATGACTACCCATAAATTCTCCTTTCTGATTCAAACCCACAAAAGTAACCATCTTCCCATCAACAGTTTGAAAAGTTAAAAACAAAAATTCTTTCTTCAAATAAACTCTTACTTAAATACAAAAAATTAAATAAAAGAAAAAATAAAAGAAGCAGGTCATTGCTGATTGAAACAGGTACAAGGGACGTTGAATTTGAACTCAGCCAAGCCATCATGTTCATTCTCATTCACCCATAGTGAGATGAACCAAAGTTTGAAAGAACACTTAGGGCACCACTGAGCTAAATTATAACACCAACTTCCAGTCAGCTCTATGTTTCTACAAAGACAAACTCATATTATTGGGGGGGATTCACATCCCCAATCATTAGTGCTTCAAGCTTCTCCACAGAGCAAGCCTACTCACCACAATCGGCTTCAGAATGTCCCTGTTGGAACGAAGCACCTGCTCTGCCACATCCAGCTTCTCCCTGGGTTGCCCACAAAGCTCAGAAAATTCTGGCTCACTGATTTGAATGGTATCTCCTAATTTTGATCCATTGCACAGATTGGTCAAATGCAACTGGTAACCTTGCAAAAATACCTGGAGATAATTCATGCAAAGAGAGACAAGCAAAACAGGTTACAAAGATGAGAAGCTGGGTCTTGAAGGTATTCATGTGAATACAGATTTGAAGGTCTTAAAAAAAAAACAAACAAGTCACCACTGTGGTAGTTCAATGTGCCACGCCTCTTCAATGAACTTGGAAAGGAGGCAGCACAAAATCTTCCAGCACATTCCAAACCTGCATGTTGGATTTGACTTAGGATCTCCTAAATCTGTATCTCCCTTACAGAGTTTCATCCTAAGGCCAATATTCTTTCTCTATCCTGGGACAGAGCCTGGATTATTGAGACGTCTTTTATTAGAGGAAAATTATCTTCATTATTTTGGAATTTATGATATCTTACATTGGGGTTGGACTGAGTCACAAAAATAAAACAATTATTTCTGTTTATCTGCAAAAGCTATTTAGCTGATGCATAGAACTATGCTCAAGTAATGTCAGAATTTGGATTTTTTGCTGAAATAAGGATATAGGATGACCAAGTGTAACAACAAGATGTACAAGACACTATGTTGAAAACAAACTTTATAATTTTGTGCCAGGGGCAGGGGGCTGGGGAAGGAGTTGGGGAGGTGGGGAGGAAAGGGATGGTAGGGGAAAAATAAAGGAGGGGCTAACAATGCTGGATAGGAAATGGACTCACTCCCTTGCTCATGTAACTGTAACCTCTCTGTACAGTAACTTTACAGTAATATATATATATATATATATAAAGAATTTGAAATTTTTCATGTCACTTGCCCCCAAATAGAGTGCTAGAAATCCATTCCTCTTATCATCTCATTGATGGGCTAGTAGACAGCTGGCTTTGTAAAGAGATGGGTCTTTGTTTACAGTGCACAGTGCTAGGATGATACCAACAGTGAACGTTGATTGAAGAAGTGAATAATGCAGACTCTACAGTAAACCATTACTAACTCCTGTTAGTTTAAAGGAGTGCAGTCTGCCCTGTTTATAAAGCAACTAGATGTGAGTGATGGAACAAAAGCCTCTCAAACCCATGCAGCTTTCTAAGCACTACAGAGCTTTGGTCCTGCCGTGGTTTCCATTAAGTTTTCACCTAATGCCAGGTATTCAAATGCACTTCAGCTTTACCCCTGGCCTTAATCCTTGCTGCCAAGCTGTCAGTCTCCCCTTAGGGTCTGTGCTTAAGAACACAGACAACCCACTCTAATTACCATACCAGGACTACCTCCATGCTTAGGATGTCCCTGATTTTCAATTGATGGGATGTGACAGATATGAACTTGGCAGGATGCAGTGGAAATTGTACTAAATGCAACTATTTTCAAAAGCCTGCTGCCTCTGGCCCACCTCCCAGCCACACAATGAGTAAATACAGGCATATTTTCCTAGTTTCATAAGGGCAAGCAGTAAGCACATTTTTCTAATTTTAAGAATTCTCAGTTGTGTGAAGCAAAGACCTTATTTTCAAGCATAAACATTTCCACTAGTTCTGCTTTTTGTATGAGATGGGCTGAGAGAGAAGTTCCCCTTTCTGCTAGAGAATAAACTCAAGAAGCATCTTTGAGAAAGCAATAAACACACAATCTGCCCAGGAGCTATAGGTGAATTACGGATGCCAGAGAAAGTTCTCCATGAATCAAAGGTTAAAATTCTACACAAACGCTAATATTACTTACTGATTTTTATAAACCTAACAAAGTTGTCTGTTGTGTATCTCTGTATCTTTTCACAGTCTCCTGTCTTAAATTGTGTGTGTGTGTGTGTGTGTGTGTGTGTTGGTAGTGGGGCTTGAACTCAGAGCCATGGGTTCTCAATTGGCTTTTTTACCCAAGGCTAGCATTCTACCACATGAGCCACACCTCCACTTCTGGCTTTTTGAGGATTAATTAGCAATAAGAGTCTCAGATTTGTCTACTTGAGTTGGCTTCAAATGGTGATCCTCAGCCCTAGGCCTCCTGAGTAGCTAGGATTACAGGTGTGAGCCAGCAGCAAGCTCCCTGCCTTATATTTTAGATAGTATTGCTCAAGATCAATCATCATCATCCCAGCTCTCATCTCAGAACTGTGATTTGTCTTTCAATTTAATTCACCTTAACTGAAAAATGTAACCCTTTTAGGATGAAGTCATCACATATGGACAGGTGAAAAAAAATCAGTTTTATTTCAACCAACTGGCCCTCGATACCAGATTCTACAGTCCCTTCTCCTGCCTGAACAGGGAAGTAAACTTAGGTGAATCTGAATTCAAAATAACCACTTCCCTCACCGCAAAAAACAAGAGTTTAATTCAGCCCCCATGGAGGACACTGAAGATGGCAGCTTACCTTGTGCAGACTGACATTAGCCTGCAGCAATCTGTGCACAGTTGGCCTTGGGAGAGAGAGATTGTGATACAGAAATCCAGAGAAGGTTTCATTATCCACCAGGAAATCCTGAAGCTTCAAGCCTATTGAAAACATGATGTTTTGTTTTCCTTTAATAAGTAACTCCAAAAGTTGAAATTAAGAAAAAAAAAGAGCAAGCACTATGGAGCAGGTGGAGAAAAATATCACAATATTGGTTGCCTAGATTGAAAGCCATTGATGTCCACAGGCTTCTGGCTTACACACACAGAAAAAATGAGTCAGGTCACTCCATCTTATTAGGAGGAACATAGAAAGATTGCTTTCTGATAACATGTTGAGACACACTCAGCATGAGCTCCCACAATCACACTGCATGACAGTGTGGTCACACATACAGCCTTGTCAATGATCTCATCCATTCCACCTGAGTTTTGTGACACAAATCCTTTTAACATGGTTAAAAGTCAGATCAATTGAAAGCCTTTATTCCCACAAGCCAGAGGGGCAGATCACCTGCATGAGTAGCAAACAGTTCTCACACTTCACCATCTATCAAATACCAACCTGGTGGGCTGGTAAAAGCAGGGACTAGATCCTGACCCGCTGCCCCAGAGTACCTGTTTGGATAAACCTGAGCTGGGGTTGTAGAATCTGTGTATCTCACACATTCCCAGGGAATGCAGCTGCTGCCAGCCTACAAGCCACACTTTAAGAAACACAGGTATAGCACCTTCTGTCTTTCAGAGAGCTTTTACAGATATGGTCTCATTTAGTTCACAACAAAGCACCTGAGATGAAGCTCTTCCACAACCTGGGAAAATAGGTTAGTATATGTTTGCTTTTTTTTTTTAATCTACCCTACGAAATGAGTCAACTGCTGAAGTTTTCATACAGATTTCCACTGAACAATAAGCCCTCCAGGTACATTTACAAAAAGCCAGAAAAAAAGCACTAGTCAACACACAGCATTTTAGTTATGGATGCTGTGTCTGGAGTTGGGTTCTGTGCTTGGTAGATATTTCATGCCATGCCAATGGACTTAAGTTTCTTCATCTCCAAGAGATTCCTGAGCAGATGCATAGGAATAGCCTTCAGACTTGCAAATGTTATCTATTTCCTGGACTTAATTCACTTGACTCTTCCTGTAATCCGCCCTCTTCTCCCTGTACCCTGTCCTCCTAATAACATATATTCTTTCTTGGAATAAAGATGAAACCAGTTCCTTCAGATCATATGGCCATCAGACTAAACAGGTATCATTTGCGGAATTGTAGTCCAGAGACCCAAACACGAATTGACCTCTAGGGGGCAAACTTTACAAACCCAAATCACACACCAAAAAGAAACAGAGATGCAATCTGAAACCTCTACAGTGTGTGGCTTGCTTAGGACAGGAGTTAATCTAAAAGGGTCACTCCACACACCGCACCGGGATTAAGTAGCAGGAGGGTCTCTCTAGCAACACAAGATCCTCATCAGAGCTGCACAATCCAGGCAAGTTCTGCCTTTAAAAAGCTTCAGTACGTTGGATAGAGTTCTAGAAAGAGTTAATGAGCAAGATGCATATCTCTAGAGAAATGCTTCTCTGCAGCCCCCATGCAGCCAGCTCCTGGGGATGCTTCATGACACTCAGACACAGTTCCTAGGCCTCTGAGTGCCTCTCCTTGAAATCAGTACTCCTGCTAGTTGCCAAACTTCCTGCTGCTCCTATCACTCGTGATGTTTGTTTCTAAGACAAACTCTCTAAAATACTGACTCGGTAGCCTATAAATCTACATTTTAATCAAGTAGCTCTGGTACTTCAAATTCGGGGAGTCTGGGAGCCACATTTTAAAGAATATTGGTTAACTTAGATACTGCCGCCACTCTGCCTGAAAGGACACGGAATACGTGTTTCTCTTGGTGTTTCCATGATCTAGATCAGGATTTGGACTGCACAGTAAATCACAACCAAATAATATACACTAAGAGATGGGATTAAGGCTGAGAAAATGCCAGAGGTATCCAAAGGACCCCTTGGATGACAGGACCATCCACGCACAGGCCCCTTTCCAGGAGTAAACAGATGCCTAACCACTAGAACTATCTATCTTCCCAGGACATAAAATGGTATACAGTACATCCCAGAATCCCTATGGTACAGGTAAACAGTAAGGAAGCTAGATAAGCAGGTGGCTTGAGGCCTACTATAAAAATGCAGACATTATCAGATACCAATAGAAAAAGTACCACATTTAGGACCCAAAAACCCTGGGCTCTGTTTCCATCCAGAATTTAATGGATCATTTCACCTAGCTGTGCTTAGACAACTAGGGACCAGAAAAGACCTTTGTGAACACTTGAGAGAACAGAACAAACATCTGAGCTAACCCCTTCATTGACCAGTTGGGCCACACATTCCTCTTCAGCAAAGCCACAGCAGTCCCACTGAGGAACTTCAGAATAGCCCTCAACTTCCCTCCCGGGGCAGCAGAAGTGTGGGAGGCTGACCCAGGCTGTACTTTCAATGGGGCTAGGTCATCCGACAACACTCAGGAGACCAACAAATGTGCTCGGCATGTTTATAAGACTCTTCTGTTATGTCAACAGATGCTGAGGATGAAAACAGCTGGATGTGATCAAACGCCAACTGCCTATTCCCTGGATGAGACACAAGAATGAAGAGGCGGATTCAATAGTCAACAACCCTTGGCAGTGCACGTGCGTGGTGTGGTAGGCCGGCTGGGTGGAGAAGCAACAGGAAGGGCCAAAGATCCCTAGCTACAAAGATTCTGCAGTCTGGTCACATGGATAGCCACACATGTTGGCTTAAGATCTCACATGATCACTGGCAGCTGGAAAGCAACAGGGTGCTTATGTAGGTTCTCAACCCTGACTACCTGTTGGACTCACCTGGGAGCTTTACAAGAGTTCCAAAGAAGACATCAGAATTAGAAGAGGAAAAAAAATCCAGATGATTCTAGCCATGTTTAGAAAACAATGATACAGCAGAAATATCAGGGCTGATGAAAAGAAAAACTAAATTCATGCTACACTGTACTGTGAATTAGCTGTGTGGTGGTGAGAAAGTCACTCTGTCAAGTTTTCATACCCATGAAGGAAGACAAGCAGTATCCACCTCTCAGAGGACTAAGGAGATTCATATGTAAAGCACAAACAATAACCAAGTGGCTTTCGATAGGTACTTAATAGATGGTAATGTTTTTGTTGATATTAAAAAGATTGTTCACTTGTATGTACATGAAGTATACACAGTAGATACAGACCTTCCCTTTAAGGGACTTTCTGGGCTGATAAAGGAGAGAAAGAGGTACATCTTTTAGCGTAAGCAGAAGGAGAGATAAGAAAGCCAGAGAAAGATAATGCAAAAATTTTTCAAGACAGTTTAAATGCAGTTTATCTGCAGGCATTCCTTGGGGAAGAGGGGGAAGGGGAGAGGTGTTGGAGAATTGGGCTGAAGCCAAGTTCTACCAAAGAACAGAGAGCCCCAAATCTCTACAAGCTGCAGCAAGTGAGGACAAGGAGAGACCCAAGACCCACTCATGATGGAAGTTGCTGAGATATTCCTATGCTCAGTGCTAGGTACACAGTAGGTTCTCCACCTCAGTAAATGAATGATGAATGAACAAAATAAACAAGCTGATAAATAGGGAGAGAGGAGATGTCTCAAAACCTAGAATTTGGGGAACAGGAAAAGATAAGGGAGGAGTCAGTGTGGAGTAAGGACATAGGAGAGTGATTTTGTCCCCTGCTGGTCTCTTCCCCATTACAGGGTTCCCTGGGGAATGGGTAGAAAAATGCAAACTATATGGAAAGCCAGATGTCTGAAACAGCCCTTATTCTCTTATTTGGCCTGTGAGTCACCTGCTCTAAGAAACTTTCCCTGACCTTCCCACCCTCAAGATAGATTGGGTAGCTCTCTCCTGTGCCTCAAAAACATCCTGAGTTTCCCCTAAGAACCACACAGAGCAAGCTGGGATGTCCATGTACACATCCTTCTCCTAGAAGAATAGAAATATCTTTGAGGGCCAGGCTTTGTAAATCCAAAGCTAGTAGCACCAGGCACAGAGAAGGAAGGATAAAGGAACACAAACAAGTGAATAAATTAATGAAGTGATACGATCCAGGAAACTGCCAGCTAAGAAGAGGTTCAATTAACCTGGCAGTGGTTTGGGAAAAGATAGAGCAGAACACGAACATGAAACAAACTGGGTCAAGATGGTACTGGAGTTTCTCTAAGCCCACCGAGTCACATCAGCCCAAGTTAAAAGAGGAGTGAATGGCAGCTCAGAGCACAACAGGAATATAGCAGGGGGAGGCTAAGTTAATTAATTAATGAAAGAAAGATGGCAATGGCATCCACCTCCCTGGAATGAGCATGGAGTTAAATGAGAAACACATGTTCAGGCCAAGAAAACAGCTGACACTGAGATAGGTGCTCTCTAAAGAACAGCTGATACCTTCATCATCATCTCCTTAGCTTTCCTGCTAATTCAACCCTCAAGCATGTTCAGAACAGAGAAGAACAGAGAAGTGACTTTGCCCAGGATGCTGAGATGTTGAGTCCACGATCTCACACATTTCTGTATGTGTCTATCATGTACTTGCCTGACTTGGATAGAATTAGTGAGATTTTTTTCCCCTCTTGATAGGGTCTATAAGATGAAGAAAAAGCTGAAGTTCACTGATCCATTTATTGTAAACTTTACTAGAAGAATAAGTAAATGTAGCATTTCACAACAGGAATGATCACATCTGATGGTAGCTACAAGGACGAACACAGGTAAAAGATATAACCACTCACTCTAGTCACAACAGGGTACACTTATTGGGAAGGGTGATCACTCATGTGTTCAATTTTGACCAAATGAGTTGACCTGAACCTGGATCTTATCATCTGGAAAAGGTGTATCTGAGGTATTGTTATCTATCCTATTTAAAGGAGTAGGGCCTCACAGAATCAGCACTGGACATATAGCACTAGAAGGACCACTTCCTAACTGTGTGTCCATTTAGCTCACCTGTCACCTGTTCTTAGTTTCTCTGGGTCTGTGTCCTCTGCTTGACAATGGGACTCATACTCTTCACAGGTTGAAACAGG